GCCTGGAATTGCATAGCCGTGATATTTGACATCAAACAACGATATGAAATGTTGTTTTGGTTTAATGGCGGGTTGCATAAACTCGCGAGTCCAGCGAGGAGCACAGCACAGAAGCCGCACCAGCAGCTCAGATGGAGTCAGACAGGAAGTCAAACACTGAAGCCATGTAAAACAACTGGCAACCTTCAACACGCTTAACTGGGAAAATCTGTAGCCGTGAAAAAACAAAACAGAAAACGTACCACAGACCTTTCTGGACACATGCTGCCATTTTTCTCCTTGCTAGTTATCGCGTGAACTGTCCAAATCACCCGTGATCTCTCAATTCTCTAGTCATTTCGTGACCTCTTGGGGCCAGGTGCGTGGAGCGCTTTTTACTGCCGGTTCACGTCTGAAACGCTCCCGGTGGGATGCACGTCTAGTATGTCACACTGCTCAGATTGGAAAGTCTGGGGTAGGGTTAAGAAGTGCATGTCTGGAGCACATCATGAATCACTCCCAACTAAATTTCCACTGTTGTAGAGCGTGAATAACACGAGAGGGGTTTGCAAACAAATAAGGGTTCATCACAACCCAGTGAGACAGTGACTTTGCCATTTGTAGTAGAAAGTGTACGTGGTGACTAAGCACGTTTTTGACCTACAGTATGTGTGAGAAACACACTCACCAGTGTGACATCAAAGTGAACTTCAGTCTGCTGCTGAGTTGTGTTCTGTGCAAATGAGGCGTGTAAATGGTGGCATGTAGGCACATTACTTGCTTATCGTGAACACACACACACACACACACACACACACACACACACACACACCTGTTTGTGTTTAAGTTGCCCTGGTCGAAAAGGCGTGAAAGAAAAACTCATCTTGAATTTCTTTTGACAGCTGCCGTGCAAAATAGCACACAAATCAAATAGAGGTAGAGGGGAAAAAAACGTCCATGTGTTGAAAAGTTGAGATTTCCCAACAAAGATTACACAAGCTGAGGGATCTTCATCGCACACCTGAACACAGTGAAAGCCTTAAAAACGGCCCCCCTTTGGGCTAATTACAGAACAGCTCCAGAGGAGCTTGTATGAGTTTGTATGAGTGGCTGAGCTCACATGTGTCCTACATGCTTCTGAGTCTGTCGGTCGTTTCCACTCCTCGGTGCTCATTATTGACCCTGGCCTGAGCTCTTTCATTAGGGGGGCTGTGAAGTAGAGGGACAAAGGGGCCGGTAGGGGATCAGGGGACAGGGCGGAGGTTGTAATTAGGCTGTTCCACTTCCCCGGCCTCGTTCAAGGTCACTCCGCCAAACAAACCGTGGGCCAGGTCTCTTTCTCTTTTCCATCCCTCCTTCTGTCCCCCCCACTTAAACCCACTCTTTTCCTCTCCCTCCCATCTCCAACCATCCTCTCCTCCTCCTGGGGTCTTTTGTCGCAGCAGACTGGTCCAGTGGGGAGCCGCAGAGGAGCAGAGGGGCTAATTCAGTCTAATCTTTTAGCCTGTTAATGTCTGGCTGATATGTGGATTTCACCAGATCCTCGGGGGAAGGCCTTTGTGGTGAAGGCCATCATTATGGAGTTTCCAGGCCCTCCTAACCAATTATAATGAGGGAGACAAATTAGTTTGTCTTGAACTTGGTTCCTAAGAAGTTTTCTTGATTGTTCTCAACTTTATTTTACTCAAAAAAGACAATTCAAATTAATTTCCTGACAAGGCAGATTTTTCCTATTTAAATATGTAGTGAGAGACTTTCAGATGGATTTTGGATCCATCCTGTGCAGTTCTGAATTTGGTTTCAGCTCAAAGCCATCTGAGGAATGGAGAATTGTGGTGCAGCTTTGCTTGTCTCGCTCTGGCCGGCGGTGAGCTCGGTCTAACGTTTCCCTCTGATTAAGACGCAGTGGTGAAAGCTGCCTTTGATCTGAGGAAATGTCTGCGTGGGGAGCAGTTGGAATGCTGCAATCTCCTCTCTGCTTACACATGGGAGGGAAAAAGACGGCCTTACTGTCTTATTTGTCTGCCACTGTCGGTCCACCCATGCTCGTAAAGTCCTGACCTTCAGACCTGACGAAACAAACACGACATTTCTGGTCAATTTGTGGAGAAATAAATTAATTCTGCTTACTTTCCAAACACTGTGCGTCATAATAACTCAGTGGAATTGAAATATGCTGCAATCCTAAATGTGCTGACTTAAATCTTGACTAAGGTTTTCCTCTCACTGGGTTGGAAGTGATGGTGACTAGTTGTACCAGTAGCATGTGGCGATGTAACTGACTGAATGCAATCGAGAGTCTGCAAACAAGCTTATAATGACACACTGGCAAACAGATTAATCTGGGACAGTAATGTCTTTATTAGCCACCTTTGTTGAGTTTGAACTGTTTTGACATTTCTCAACACGTTTTCACTCCCAGCACGTCAAAAACAAACGCTTGGTCAGCCACCCTCCACGTCAGACCCCTGACGCCAAAAGTGTCCTTTTTCGTTACTTATGTGCAAAAAGGGGTTTTTCCCTTATTTGACTGCAGGTCCCAATGCAGCGTTACACTGACGTGATGGGATGTCCGCAGCCAGGGCACCAAACAAGCTCATTGTACCTCACCTTAACCTTATCCTCTTATTTAACCTTCCCCTCACCCCTATCCTAACCTTAACCATCTTGCTAGCGAAAAAGTTAGTGATGTGTCGATCGCTCTAAAAGCCGGCTCTATGAAGTGAACGGCGGGAGCCGCCTCGTGATTGGTCGAGTTTGGACCGAGCCAACGCGAGGGGGAGGTTTCAACTACCACGGTGGAGGTTAAAAGTAGAGGGTATTTGTAACCTCCCCCTCGCCAGATGGTATGTTCTAACGTTCCCCTTGAGCGGCAAATACGAAAATTGACAGTCAGACTCTGACTGTCAGAGTCAGAATGCATGGGAAACAAATGCTTGATCACAGTGAGAGTAACGTTTTAGGTAGCAAGAGGGTTAAGGTTAGGATGAGGGTGAGGGGAAGGTTATAAATAGTGAAACGTTAAGGTTTAGGTGCGGTTAACTGAGCTGGTTCAGTGCCGCATCAGCAGATATCTCATCACGTCAGTTTTACGCTGCATTGGGATCTGCAGTTACAAAAGGGAAAAACCCCTTTTCGTACATAAGTAATGAAAAAGGGCACTTTTAGCGTCAGGGGTCCGACGTGGAGGGTGGCTGACCAAGCGTTTGTTTCCGACGCTTGGGGTGTGAGAATGTGTTGCATTTCTAGACACACACATCATTTCCCCATTTATTTATTATCAGAATATGTAAGGGAGCAAAGATTCCCAAATTTCCAGGTCTCCAGAAACTTCATCCAGATTCTCCTTTCCCTGGGTCGGGGGTTGGGGGGTTAAAAATTCCCTCCAAAAGCTTCAGATCCAACCCTGCAACATTCCCAGTCAAGTTGGTTTTGCCTTTTAATTTCCCAAAGAAATTCACCCAGGAGTATTTGAAAGCGTTTCATAATAAGAGTCACGTGTGCTTGCTATATCTACTTGAACTCAAAGGCTAATCAGTTTTCGCAAGCTGATGATGATTGAGTTTGTTACTGAAGACCGTAGCTGTAATATCTCTATCATTATGTCGCATGTAGACCATGGTTAGCCTGGCCAGGTGGGGACAGCCCTCCCCTGCATGGCCTGGTTGGATTAACCTAACCTTCTCAGGAACACGGTTGTGGACAAGGGACATGATGGGCTCTGCTAAAGTGGTGCAGAAAAGTCTGTGGTGTCATTCATAAGCGCCACCGTAAACAAAAGCTGGTGTCAGTACAGTCAGTTTAGACAAGTGGGATAAGATGGTTAAAAACAATGACAGATTCGTGTGGGCGGACATCTTGACAGTAGCATTACAAAGTAAATACGTGCCAGGTTGCTGTTTATTTGGGCTTGGTAGGGCACTATTTTGTGACATAACTTCACACGCACACCTACGTAGCAATATAACTTCAGTCGGCTAGTCGGTCCATAGATAGGCGTGCAGGGTCGGCCCAGCACAAAATGAACTGCAGGGAAGCACGGTCCCGAAAAGTGGTCGGCTCCGCACAAACAACGCCAACGTGCTGACTCTACCAGGGCCAAACGGAGCTGATCGTAGCATAAATGCACCATATGAGATCCCATTCCCAGGAACAGCCTTGTAGTATTCTTTGGAGTGGGATGAAAGTCCTGTCTACCCACCTGGACTTAAAACTTGAACCATTTTATTTCTTTCAGAAGTATTGACCCAGCTTAGTACTTTCTTTGGATTTAAAGCTGCAACGGTCAAGCTAGCTTTTAAACAACCACCCACCCCTCCCTTCGACAATTATCCCTAGGCCACTTTCGCCTGATATGAGAACGCGCGTTGCCAAAAGAAACGAGACAGCAGTAAACCGATCTCTATTTTCTACATCCAAAAGTCTTGTTTACCACATCTTCAAATGGTGTTTTTTTTTTTTTTTTTTTTTTTGGGACTCTGGTAGTTTGGTTAGGGTTAGGGTTAAGTGGTAACAGCTGGCTGTTTCTCCTTCTCTGACATTATGGAGCGGCGAACCTCTCACACCGGTGGCGTTCTGTTGCAAAATACAAGAGAGCGCGTAATGAATGGAGGACCCAGGTAAATGACAATCATATGGTCCAATCATTGGTTTTGGTTCGAGCCGTGTGATTGGCTGAGGTTTTTAGACAAATGTGAATGAAAAAAATGTTTTAAGCTAGCTCGTTTTGCAGATTTGCCACTGTAGCTTTAATGTTAATTACATTTGACACATGTTGCCAGAAAAGCTGAAAGACTTCAGATGTGAAGAGACATCCATGTCAAATATCAACTGAATTTAAAAACCAAATAAATCTGAAAGATTATTGATCTGGTCTTACAGTTTTAGCAATCTAATGCTGATCTGGAGGGAAGTGGCCATAGATTTGCTTGTACGTGTTGGTATAAGTAAAATTATTTTTCAGTAGATCTGTTGGAGTTGTCATTCATCTCCTACGATGTCCTTTGTGTGTTTCTCTCCAGGCCTCCGGCGTTGGCGGGCAGCCCGGCTTTCTCCGACATCTCCCTCATTCGGATCTCACCCCAGCGGAACCCCTCTGTGGGGGCGGAGTCACCCTTCCACCCTCCGCACCCCTACATTAACCCATACATGGACTACATCCGCTCCCTTCACAGCAGCCCCTCCATCTCGGTGGTGTCGGCCACCCGGGGCCTGAGCCCAGCAGATGGTGAGTAAACTGTGACACTTGCACATAAAAAAAAACCACACACACCCAGAGGCGTGACCTCAGTGGGCTTAAAAAAAAGAATAATTGTCGAAATTGATCCCTGACTGTTATTAGAACTCTCAGCTCTGTTTAATTCTTGTTTGAGATGAGAGGAGGTCAGGTGAGAGGCAACCAGATCCATCTCTATTAAGACCCAGGGGTCGGCGAGATGGTATCTGAGTCAGGGTCGGACCGTTACAAGAGCGGCTCGTAACGTGTTGGTGGGGGCTCCCAGGTTGGAGCGAGGCTAATCCCTTTGATCTGTGAGACGAGTCGGAGACGTGTCGGAGACCTCTGGAGGACGCTTCAATGAGCGGCAGGGTCATGTGCAGCAAACAGAGGGTGGATTCAAGTGCAGGGCTTCAGGGGCAGCGATGCTCTTAGAATGAATGCAGTAGAGGATATAAAACACTGATATAGATTAACTTTTGTGACCGAGGATGAAAAGAACTTTTTTAAGTTATTATTTCATTATCTCATGTCAATAAGGGTTACATTAAAGATAAAAGAAACATTATTTGGGATTAATAAAATAGTTTATGAACATTTAATGTTGTATAACAAAATCCCTAGATTTGTATTAATTTTTAATTTTTTCATTTTTTTAGATTTATTATCAGTTATTCTACGTTTTAACAGAAATACTGGATCAAGATTGCTTTTAGATTTATTTATTTTTATTTAAACTTTAATATTCTCAGCTGCATCTGGGTTAAAACTAACAACTGCAACATCTTAATAAATATTTTTTGTATTTTTTAATAGATGGAATTTATAAGTGGCATAAAATGAAATGAAATACAGTAATAAATCATTTTCTTAAGTATTTGTTTTATATTTTTTTATTTTTAAGAAGCTGTGCTAATCAGTTTTTAAAACCTATTTTATGAAAGAATAATCCACAAAATCAACTTTATTCCTGCTAATGTGACCTATTTCTTTTTTTGTCACTTTTATTATAAACTAGAATTACTTTTTGTCCAATCTTTAGCTTTGATTGATGATTTTTTTTACCATGATGTAACATTCACGCTGATATAGAACAGCAAAAAAAAAAGATAGATTTTAAAATGAAAACTTCTTCAAGAGAGCATAAAAACAGGAATATTTGGTTTCCTCCTGAAAATCTCCTGAGCTGTTGCTGCGTTTTATTGGAATGGCCTAATAACCTTTATTTTTTTGCTTCTACATCATCAGCCATCATCCTTTTGGCTCTTCAGACACCTCTTTAGCTCTCCGTCTGATGTTGGAATGTATTTTGTGAAATGACAGATTGCAGGGTTATTTCCTGCACATCCACACACTTGACTCCCTCTCATCCAGGTGTGTTAACCACTAAGAGAGGACTAGAAGCTTTACTCCTCCTCCTCCTCCTCCTGCACTTTGCTCACTCGATCTCCGACTCTCTGCCCTCCAGGTTCCCATTACCATAATGTGCACCAGGCTCAGATTGCTTTAAATCAAAATAGTTCCTCCAACCTACCACACGATCCCCCTCTTTTTAATTCATAATGCTGTGAATTGTGAATGAGGCACCTAATTACTCCTTTAATCAATCCGCTGATTAATGAACCCGTCAGCTTTTGTGTTGTTAGTATATCACTGCGCTTACAGCAAGCCTCTTTCTTCAGTATGCTTGGATTTTTTTTTCATTCCCAGTAAAAAGTACATTTGAATAATGACGAATTAATTAACAGAATCTAATGGAGATTTAAAGTGGGTGGGATTTAGTGCCACCCTCCTGCCGCCACACATTTGCTTTTTTTTCTTCTTCCTGCTTTAATTCTTGTCTTTTCTCTGCAACAACCAGTTCAGAGGTAGGCTCGCCCCTGATCCCATTGTTATGCCGAAGGAGTTCCCGGTGGCTCAGCGGGTCCTGAGGCATGTCTTCTCCAAGTGCCACACTCACACACACCCCACTCCTCCTTCTTTTGCCCCCAGGATCACAATCAAATGCCAACATTTCTGATTTAGGAAATTCTCAAAGCTCCTTTCCGTGCACGGATACTGAATGGGACACATTATAGTTGAATGCAAAGCAAAGCTGAGGCGGAACACTGGTGACAATTAAGAAACTCCCCCTTCTACTGGAGACATAAAAGCCAAATAGAATTAATTTACAAATGTTTTTCTCCCTTTCATTCACCCAATCACTGATGTGTATTACAGCCATACGGGCCAGACTTGAGAGGAAATCTCATACACTGTTTCTTTATTTACTCTCTCTTTATTTCACAAATTAAAGGGGGGGAAAGAGCTTCAGTAGTCTGATTCCAAATTTGCATCCAAAACCTCAGTGTTAGTCTTTTCCTTCTCTCTTTTCTTACAGTATTTGCATATGGAAGGCCCCTGCCAGATGTTTATTTTTAGGCTACGGTTCAAGGACTTACGACTTGGAAAAGGGAAGCTCGGAGAAAGGAGGAGATAGTGGAGTGGAGGCAGGATAGTTTGCAGTATCATTTAATGCGTGCAGATCTATCGGGGAAGATTTAGGCCTTTTGTTTTCCTTTAGAGCAGAGTTGAGGAGCAGGCTGCATATCTGCAGACTGCAGCCCGATGCATGCTACATGCACAGGAAACGTCTCTGCCAACAGATGCGTTAGCCCACATACGCTTACCACACACACACACACACACACACACACACACACACACACACACACACACACACACACACACACATGCACGCACACGCACACGCACACACACACACACACACACCGGTGATCAAAGAACACCAAAGTGGAGAGAAAAGGCTATTTAAGGAATGCGTTGCAAGATGATAATTTATGTTGTTTTCTGCAGGAGTGCATCATTCAAACACTAATGCACACTCACTGTAATCTCTGAGCAAGCATTCAGTAGTCCCCAGTGAGGCTCTCCACTTCAGGTGATGCTCCCTGTGCAGCTGTTTTGGTTAACTTGATGGTGTTGCTAATGTACTCATTACTGTTTTGCTGAGCTGATTATCAACCAAAGTAAATGAGTGCAAGTTTTCTAATGCAACGCAGGTGCTCTCCCTGTCCTCTTTCTACCACTGCCTAATAAATTTCCTCTGTTGTTTCCCACCATCTGCACCCGGAGTTCCTCGAAATCTTCCATCAATGGAATTGTGTTCTGCTTTGTGTGTTAGTACTTACAGTATTTTTTTTGTGCTAATCTGACCTTTTTTGTTCTGTTCCAGCACCTCACACAGGTCTGACAGCAGAATACTACCACCCAATGGCTCTGCTGGCAGGCCACCGCAGCCCTTACGCGGCAGACCTTCTCCCATCTGTGGCGTCCACTGCCGGGGCAAGCAGCGCCCTGCACATGGAGTATCTGCAGGCAATGGACAGTAAGTCTGCGTATTTGAATACATCAAAATAATATGAGCTAGGGATGTGTGTTAGGGAAATTCTGGTGACCCGATACATATCACTATACAGGGGAGGCGACACAATGTATCACAATATATTGCAATACATTCAGTCAGACTTTATTAGTGAGTTTTTTAGTCTGAATTTATTGTAGGAATGTTCAACAGTCCAAACTGATACTTAACATGTTTAACATGAGGTGTCTGAACCATAACAGAAGGATTTACATTTCAATGGTGGAAACAAAACCCATTGCACACTGCTGCCAATTAGTGGTCGGCGTTTGAATTGCACCAAAAGAAAATACACAAATGTTTGCAGGTAAATTCTTCCCAAAATATCAATATAGCATCACAGAAAATATATCACGATATGTTGCCATATACCCTAACCCTACATCCCTAATATGAGCTAACACGTTCAGCTGAAAGTTCTGTTGCGAAATCACTTTAGCTAGTTTGCGCTGATCAGAAAGGTTTTATAACTGACTTGTTCTTGGTGCTGCACCCTGAATTGTATTACTCTTTTTTTTTTTTACATTAGCACATTTTGGCTGGTAGCACACATGACAATGGGTGGAAATCATCACAAAGGTGGAGAAAGAGATCTGGGCACTACACTTCCATCTTAGTCAGGGACTGCGTTTCCACCAAAGGAGTTCTGGGAATTGTCTGGAAGGGGGAAAGGTGACTAGCTCTGTTCTCTCAGTCATCGTGTTTCCAAACAGAATCGTCGCTTTCAAGAATCTGCTAAGACGCCGGGATATCACGACTGTTTCGGCAGTGAGTGACTCCACTAATCAGCGTAAAAAGGCATCCACAAACATTAATAACTTTTAAAAAGTTTATTTTTGTCAAATTATGCTTAAATTAAATCCATTCAGGGTAGAGCAGTTATGTGATGTTAAAAGTGTGCCGCGGTTAAAAGTCAAGGACCAGAAATTGCTATAAATGATGGAGTTGTTGGGGGATTTCTACCATTTTTATTTAACAGCAGCATTATTACAGCATATTTTCATTTCTATTTATTTAGCTTCACCAGCAACTCTTCCAGTTTTACAAATGCTGGTTGTTTGGCGATATGTGTCAATATCATTTTCCACTAAGTTACAATACCACCCATCAACACTACCTGACTATTCTCGAGCAGAAACCCTAGTTCAGTTACTCGGTTGACCTTGAAAGTGAAATGGAGACACGCGCATACTGGAAAGGTCCGATAAAATTACTCAGAAGGTCTGATAGTAGAAAAGGGCGTAGGAAGGTAAAGAGCAATCCTGTTTGAAACAGATATTCCCCCTAAAATTGAAATTTTGTCAAATATACTTTCCAGAGTTAGATAATTGGGGGGGGGGGGAAACTATTTGTAGCCAGTAATTCTCCTGACCCGGCAGTACTCCTTTAGCTTTAGCTTAGCATGAATGGGTCCAACTAGCATCGTGATTAAAAACGTCCATAAAATCACTCAGTAGTGATCCCAGTTCTGCTCGGTGACCTAAATAATCAGACTGACTGCAAGTGAAAATAATTAGTATCATAAAGGATTCACAGATGCCATTTTAGACTATAGGGCCGACCGATATATCGGGCCAATATATTCCATTTTTTCTATATCGACCATCGGCCGAAGTTATTTTTAAAAGACAATTAAAAAAATAAATAAGAATAAAATCAGGCACCTATGTGGCCAACTGATGCCACGACTAGACTGAAGAAAAGACCCAAACACAGTATTTTTTTCATGTTTTGAGTTTGTTTTTTATTTGAAGATCAATAAATATTAAGAGATTTATTGACTTATTTAATTTATATTGCACACAGCGAGTGTTCAGTTGTCTTTCGCAATCAATGTACTGCTAAAACGTGTGTGTGTATATATATATATATATATATATATATATATATATATATATATATACACATACATACATACATACATACATATATACATGTATATATATATCGGCCTTAATAATTGGCCATTTGCAACGACATTCTTTAAAAATCGGTATCGGCATCGACCTTAAAAAACATATCAGTCAGCCTCTATTTTAGACTTGGGAATACTTTATGAAAAAGCACAGCTGTGAGCTATTGTTTAAACAGTGAACATTATTGACTTAAAATTCATAAAAATCATAATTGAGGGAAGAAAAGATCTTGTTGGAACGTAAAACATGATCACATACGAATAATAAACATCACTTTGTTCGAACCATAAAAATAATCACGTTTGCATAAAAACTAATTTTTGCATTTGAACAATATACAATACAATCAAGCTCTAACAAAAAAGTTATATTTGTAGAGCATTTTTAACAAAACCCATCAATAAATTCAGCAACGTGAAAGCCTTTTGTTCTAAAGTGAAAACCAAAAATAGGACAGTTTTGTTTTATTATTTGTAGGGCGGCAGCAGTACACCTCCATATGTAACAGAGATACAATGTTCTAGACTAAACGATCTGTGTCTCTGTGGTTCTGTTGTTTCCTTCACCTCCCCAGTCAGGGATCATGCTCACCAGTGTTTCATCAGCTCACCTGTCCCTGTTTTCTAATCACATCCCCCAGTATATAAGAGCCTCCAGTTAATTCTCCAGCTGTAGGATCAGATTGAGTTCAACTGCCTGCCTCCTCAGCTCCTTCAACAACGTGCACTATGACAGAAAAGCTAGAAACTAAGTAAAAAAAAACTTACAAATGTATCAAAAAACATAGGAAAAACAGGAAAACAAGATAACATTAACAAAAAAACGAACAAATGTAATGAGTCTGTGAATAAAACGTTAAATGTTCGGTTCAAGCCAGAAAACACATCAAAAACGACACCCACCACATTTATTCCTGCTGGGATTGCACCTTTACGTCTTCGGAGTGCATACCTGCACACTTCGTGTGTGGGTGGCCCCAGCGGGAATTCAACCCTTAAAGTGCACCTTCACAGTACACATATATATAGATCAAGCTGCACCTCAACCGCGGCGAGGAGGCTCCCGCAACTTTACTTTGACATGATTTAAATGAGCCATTGTCTTAATGTGTTGAGCTCAGGACTGTGTGCAAAGGACTTATGCTAATGAGTTATTTTCAAGTGTAAATAGGAAATTAAACGAACACTGAATCTTAGAAAGGTCAGACAGCCTCACCCCTCTCCCTTTGATGAGAATGTATTTAGTGAGACAGACACTGCTTTCATGGAAAATCCGGGGTGAACCCCCCTCCCCTCGTTTCTCCGAACAAACTAATTAAAACTAGCCAAACTTGTGCGGGTATCAGAAAATTAATTGCTATTAAGTGGGAATTGGAATGTCCCACCATTCATCACTGGAGAAATCCTATCTTCTGTGTCACTTTTTAAGATTAATAGACTGAAACAAAACAATTAGGGACAAATTTAAGTGGAGAGATGCGGCACTCCACACTTAAAAATCGCCTGTGATCATTGCCGGTAATAACTCATCACGTTTCAACAATGTGTGTTCCTGCGCCGCAGGAATTAGCACTTTAAAGCTTTGTCGGATTTTGGGAAGAGAAAAACTGTACAAAGAGCTACGTCTATCAGGAGGGTTTCACTGATAATCTGGACTACCATTTTAGTATTTTCCAAATTAGCGTAATTACCGTCAGCCAGAGCTCTACTAATGAAACAATGGGCCTGTCCTTCCTTTTTGTGCTTTAATGGTCTATTGTCTATGTTGGTACTGCCTAATTAGCACCATTGCGCTCATAGATCACTGTGACTGAAGTCTGCACTACTATGTTTGTTTGTGGCCTTTATTAGCCAATCTCAGTGCTGTTTTCCTTGGTAATAGGAAATTATTTTTCTAAACAGCCTTTATTTTACTTTATTCATTTTTAAACTAATTTATTTATTTATTTTTTGTAAATTAGCTAAATGTAACCATAATTTACATCAAATCGGCCTCAGTTGGTTGCTTATTATTGTATTTAACATTTTTATTTTCCTTGATCGGGTAAAATTATGAAAAATCAAACGCGTTTGAAATCTTTAACAACATCTGTGTTCTATAGCTGTTTACAATTAAATGAAGTTGTTTAGTAAACTGTTCATTAAATATTCATTTACCATCTGTGCATACAAAATAACATGTTAGCAGGGACCTGTGCTACTCGGGACATTTTGTTTTAAAAATAGGCTTCTTTTGTTAGAAAATTACATCTTTTTTTCTTGACAGGAGTAATAATTTATCATGTTCATTTTACATCTTTAGAATCTGGCTGTAAGCACAGAAGGAGGATTTGTGCCCTTTCCTTCTGTGACTTTCCCTGGTTTGTCGCTGGGGGTCCAATCCCAGTTTTTTGGTACCAACTTTTATTTCCGTCAGTCTGGCCCATCTGAACCCTCCCCGGCCTTCAAAATTAATGACGCGGCACGTAACCAGCCATCCCGTCCATAAATCAAGAGGAAATTAGAGGGACAGACCTGCTACGAGCCAGGACGCTTCTCTCTCTGTCTCCCGGGTTGGCCGATTTATCATTTGGGCTGTGCATTAATAAACACCGGTCCCATGAGGCTTTGCAGCGATGGCACACGGGCCCCTTCTCCCAAGCTAAGCCTCCTCCCCTCTCTCCCACCCACTGTCTTGCAATTTTCCACAAGTGGATGCTGCACTTTGCACAGATGCAGCTAGCTTAAAGCATTTAGCAAAGTCTGGTAGGAGTTTTGCAGAAATATTAGTCATTGGTGATGAACTGCACTTTAGTTTACAGGCATATGTGGCAACTTTTTCATATTTTAAAATCATTTTCTTGACCCACCATGTGCTAAAATGACTTTTTACATGGTTATTGAAATGTAACTCAGACCCCCACTGCCCTCTGTGGCCAGAATACCACATTTGCAACTTCAGAGTGCTGGTCCGGTCTGTTGAACTGACGCAAATTGAGCTGACATACCTGGCGCTGCAGTCTGCTTCCTGCACGTTTCCTGCATGTTTTAGAAAATGAACACAGCTGATGTGTTTGATTTTGTGATGATTCATTCCTGTAGACACTATTGAAGGCTGAGGAGACATTTCAGTTGATAGCTTAAGGTGTTAAAGCACAGCGAGGAGATAGGTTTCACTATTGCTTCTACTAAACAGACACTAGGGGTGCTAAAAGCAAACAAAACTTCCAAGTGTGCATTTAAATATTCTGTGTGCTCATGTTTTGTTAAAAATATGTAGATCCTATTTCAATTGTCTTTACCAGATTTTAAATAGGTTCTTGTTTCTCTTCATTGAGGTCTCACCTTAATATTCAGTCACCCGGAGGTCTGGAACTTTATTTTCTTTTTCAGACGTTCTGTTGTAGATTTTCTACTGCATTTTGGGATCATAGACCTCTTATGACTCCTGTTTGGCTTTTGGAAAGATGATCTTATATTTGATTTTAGAATACTTTGGTCTGCAGAGGAAATCATGGCCCAAACCATCAACCCTCCACCTTGGTGCTGACAATGGATACATGGTGGTTATGGTGATATCCTGTGTTTGGTTTCCTCCAAACACACAGTGGTGTGCATCATGAGTGAACATCTCTACTTATCTTCATAAGTCTTGTTCGTTCAGATTTGCTTTTGTGAACTCTTAAGTCTACCACCTTAGCTTAAGGGGAAGGATTTTTCTCCTGCAATCCTTCCAATAAACTCTTTCATTAGCTTTAAGCTGCTCTAGCGGAATATAGTTGGTATTTTCTTACACTTATTAAAGTACAGAGGTAAACCTTACCTTAGAATCAGAAGAGGTTGTTTTTACCACAGGGAATTTTATTCAAACAATTTGTATTGACTTAGAGACAAGAAAAGAGAAATATGGGATGTTTAAGAATATTTATTTTATAATTATTCGAAACAATCTCCAGGACTAACTCTCTAATGATGGATGAAGATGAATGTGAGCTGAGGTGTTGGTGTGTGTGTGTCAGTTCAGAATCTCCATCTGATGCAGGCGAGTCTGAGTGTAAGATGTTGTTTTGACTAACTAACCACGAGGGACTTCAGGAGGAAGAGACATGAAACGCCATCTATGCCGATCTACGTACCTTTGGAGACTCCCGTGTTAGATCCGGAATGCCAGGTCCTCGGACCCTCCTTTGGTGCTGGAACTGATAGCACAGCGTCTGCAGCACGACAAACCAGTCTACGGATAACTCCCGGTAGCAACGGCAGGTGTCAGCGTTACGTAGAGAGTTCAGCTTTTATTCTGAAGGAACCGTCGTCTTGTTGGTAAAACGACAGAATTTTCCAGCTTGACAGTTCTCAGCTTAAAAGTAGAAAATACAGCTGGCCAGTCTGTACTTCACTTAGCGATGATGGATTTGAGAGCTGGTCGGGTACTTGGTTGGAACTGCGTTGAACCAAGTTGAACTACGTTAAAGAGCTTCATTGGAACTGACTTAAAATGGCGTTGTTCTGTTTTATTAACTCAGTTGTTTATAATTCTTAGCAAATCAGAGTGGACAGATTAAGTAAACACCACATAACTCTGCCAGCAACAGAAAGGAAGTTCTGATTGGATGAGGGAGCAATGTGTCATGTGTTTACCTTATGTGGATCAGGATGTCTAGCTCAGTTAGTCCTGTTATTTATTACACATAATCATAACATTGTGATTTCACAGATCAGTCACCTGATTATTATTGACCAACATTTGTTTTGATTAGCTTTATTAGAAATAAAGTTCTTTGATTAACTAATGAAAAGCGTTCTTTGTCCTTCTTCTGTCTTCTTCGCTAGAATGTAAACATCAGAAGCAAGCGCACGACCTTGGCAATTTATGCACACTGTCACTGTGTCAAAGGGCAGCTGTTAAGGGCAGGAAATAGCATATCCATAATGCTACACTGCTAACAGAGACTGAGCAGAATTTTTTGGAATATCCCTTCCTCCTTTTACTCCTTTCTAGAGTGGTGCTACAACAACAGTTGGTACTGTGTTAACACACCCTTGTATGCTCCAGTACAACAAGAGTACCGGTACTTATTGGATACAATTTTTCCTCTTAAATCTTATGTAGGCATTCGGTGTTTACTTGGGTTTTCCACCTCAGTTTTAACATTTTGCATTCATTATTTGTTTAAATAATCTTAAAACAGGATAATTTCCCTAATATCCTGACACATAAAACCCTGAAACTAAAAGGGGGTGGACTTTTGTTTCATTAAGACAGTTTATGCAGCCATACCATCCTCCATGCACTGTAAACATATAGAGGGTGATTCTTTGCACACAGGTTCATGGCACAGATGCAGCCCGGGCCTTTTGCATGCCAGAACACCACAGCAGCAGCCCCGGTACACACTCACATCCACACACACTGATTACCATGTGAATGGAGTGCTCTGTAATCGCTGGATGTGTCAAACGAGGGATAGAGCATTTACGTTTTAGGAGATGGATGGATTGAGGGGGACGTAAATATGGAGGGGGGGGGGGGGGTGGGGGGGTGGTATCGGGGCTGTGCACGCTGGTTTTGTTTGCCTTTATGAAATAACTCAAAATGTTTTATTTCCAAGTCTTGAGTCACAAAGTCATTGTGTCAGTTCAAGCACAAAGCACCACATCCCCTCAGCACGTTCTCCCCCCGTTTTTCTGTCTTGTTTGTGACATCTCTGTGTGAAAAGACAACAAAAGTCATGTTTTAATCTCTACCCGTGGCTCATTGTATGTGCAGAGAGAATGCTCGTGCTGTTTCCGCCTTTTACCTTTTCAAACCCATCTTTGAGTTTTTTCCAGTCAACACTGATTGCATTTGAATAACGAGTCAAATTGGACTTGATTAAATATTACCATAGACAGTTTGAGCATTTCTCCAACATAAAAGGCATGTTTTCTCATAGATGAAATGCAAGCAGTGCATCAAGTGACAGCTGAACACTCATCGAGACGAGCCTTTTGTCTGATGATTGACACAAGTGTCATCTGTTAGGGTTATAGAGTTTGGACTAAGTCAAACAGAAAATGATTTTTTTTAAATAGATATTCAAATTTTAACAGATTCGCTTGTCTAGAATAAACAAAAAGGATTACATTAATAGCTTTGCAAGATATTTTAAACTTTCTTTTCACTGCAGCTGTCAGAAGTCTAATTCTGATCTGTCTTCACCACATAGGCTCCCGTTTTCCAAGCCCAAGGCTCCCAGTGCGGCCCAGCAGGAAGCGCCCACTGCCCATCTCACCACTCTCCGACCACAGCCTCGACCTGCAGGCCATGATCCGTAACTCACCCACCGCCATCGTCAACCAGCTGATCAACAACTCCCGCTCCAGCTCCTCCACCAGCGGCTCCTACGGTCATCTCTCTGCCAGAGCCATCAGGTAGCAAACACAACAGTAACATTGTTTTCCTTTTAAAACTGCTGTATCAATAAAGCTGCCTTGCCTTGCCTAACACACCTTTTGCTTAGCTCATGCTACATTCCTTCAGTATGTAATCTCTACTTATATCTATAAAAATATACCTCACTGAACAAAAGAGATACATTTATTTGACTGCCGTTCAGCCCATGATGTTAGACATCTGCCTGCGTACAGATGTCAGAATGTGTGTGAGCGTTTGAGGAAGTACATAGACAGAGGCAGAGATGATGACATTTCTTAATTTGTGTTAACACATGTCCAATTTGACGAGTTATTCAAGTCTATGAATGAAAAACATGAAAATAATAAATCTGTGGGTGGGCTAGAGTTGCACGAATGAGAAGTGTTTCTTTCAGACATAATTTTAGAAGTAGGGAGAGGGGCTTAAGGGGCAATACTTTTGTCAGCCTCTAGATGGAGCCGTAAGATTAAAACTCAATTTCAGCTTTAAAGGTTGAATATGGAACAATTTAATAAAAAGCTAAATTAAAAAAAAAAAAAAAAAAACCTCCACAGGGCATTTAGAGGTGTAGTATTTCCTTTAACTCGTTCACTGCTAGCCGCTTCCTGATCAGTAAAGCTCTTCTCTGCCAGCGTTTTTCAGCGTTTTTACTGTTTTTTAAGAGTCACAGAACATTGCACGCTAGGATGAGGTCAGCGCCAAAACTACCAAAACAACCAAAACAAAGAGGAGACTCACCTCTTACATCAGGAAGAATCCGCTCGTTTCGAGCGTTATCCGTTCTTTCATTATCCGTTGTTGAATTGTGATCGGCAGAAGCTTTTCCAGTTCGCGCCTCACTTTTTTTTACAGCAGCGGCCCAAAACGATCTCCTAACACATGGATTTTCTGCTTCCTGATCACGTGACGTGTGATTTACGTAGATGAAGATCGGCTTTAGAGCTGGGATGTTTGCTCTCACGGTGTGGGGCTCGTTCCGACGCCCACACAGTAAAAAAATGCAAATGCAGTGAACGGTTGGATTTAAAATGACGACTTTTGTTGTCAAAGCTATATTTTAATTAAAAATAATCAAATATTTATTTTGACGGGCACGACACTGGGTTTATGTTTACATCTACCAGCCATTAGAGGGCAACATTGCAGGTTGCCAAACAGTCCGCTCGGCACAGCGAGGCTGGCACTGTGGAAAATGGCGGACTCGGCAAGTCAAGCAGCTGCTTCTGAGCTCGGGAGACGTTATCCTTCAGAAGAGGAGCGACCATGAAAGATCCAAAACCAGAGTGAGTTTAGGTGAAGCCTACAACAAAACTTTGACATATCGGCAGCGAACCCGTATCCCGACGGCTGTGAACCTTGTTCATCTGTTGCAGTTACAACCTCTACACACTAGATGTCGCTTTGGTGTTCGTGATCCATATTCCACCTTTAACTCCCCAGCTCATCACTTTTGCCCAGATATGACCGTTTCCTGCCTACAGAGTACCTAATGTTTCTTAGCAGTATTTAACAAAACAACTGGTGACATCAAAGTTGTCCTAAAGTTCATTTTGGTTCAGTTGTGAAAGATTCAGTCCAGCTGTGTTATGGGAAACGTAGGAAAAGTGTTTTAGCGGTCTTAGACACTTTAATACCACTGATTCATTTTCTGTTAAGTTATGTGTCGTCAACAGTTTTCCCTTCTGCGTGACACCTTAATATATAAAGTAAATGTGTGGCACCAGTAGGTGTGTGTGTGTGTGTGTGTGTGTGTGTGTGTGTGTGTGTGTGTGTGTGTGTGTGTGTGTGTGTGTGTGTGTGTGTGTGTGTGTGTGTGTGAGTGAGAGAAACCCCTGTGTGGGTGACAATCTCCCAGCCAGCCGGTCGGCCTGCCTCCCTGGCGGCTTGTGTCACTCATCCAGCACACCTCGTGGAGCCATCACATACATCACGTCCCGATGCCAGAACTAAGCAAAGTGAAGCAAAAGAAAAGACTAGTGATCAGTGGGGGGAGGGGGGGAGGGGGGTGAAGTGAGACGGCCAAAGATCCATTGCCCCACCCACAGCCATTGATCAGCGATCTGTAGGAAGAACCTGATCAATCACGCTGCACTCTCAGCCACTGTCCAAGTGACAGGACCCAAATAGCCAGAGCCAACAGACTGATGAGCGATATGACAAGCGGATGGGCCCCCAAATGCGTCTCAGCCCATTGATTTCCACTCGGCTCATAATAAGATCAGCAGACATATGGGTCGCGAGTGGAGAAAATTGTCAACGAGGAGAATGAATGGAGGCCATTGCTGTTTCTGTGTTTATCTGGTGGTTCAGAAAAGAAAAGACTTGCTGGCATCTGAGAGTTTCATGGTTCATAAAGTCACCTCAGGTTGCTAATTAATAAGCTTCAGAGCTGTGGCTTTATTTATGCGACTGCAGGTTAGATTAGGAGTTATTTATTATCTGTATGATTTGCCCAGTGGAGGATTGGACGGACGAATTGATAATTCAGTGTGTTAACAAGCTTCATTTGCCGCCAGTCTTCCCGGTTCCAGCATTACCACACCATCTCCTGTCAGATCGCCCTCAGGGATGAAAAGTTATCCAGAACAATTCCTTTATGCACTAAAGTTAACCTTTTTTTTGTCTCATTTCATCTGCTACTAATGATTTTGCTGCTGTCTCCAGTCCAGCGTTAAGCTTCGCCTACCCTCCAACCCCGGTGGCTTTGCACGTGCACCAGCAGCTGATTGGTCGCCAACCGGGCATCGTTGGTTCAGCCTTTGGTCACAGTCCGCCCCTCGTTCACCCAACGCCAGCCTTCGCCACCCAGCGACCCATGCCCGGCATCCCGTCCGGGCTCAGTGCCAGCGAGCGCTCGGCCATCTCCAACGATTCATCACAGGTGAGAGTGGCGGTCCGCATCTCTGCGATTCATCATCACACCTAATGGATAGCGGCGTTGCATGTGAGCTACGTGAGCCAAGCTGACGCGGTGCAGGCAGGACGCCTCCTCTCCTGGGACTTTCCTCCTACTTTGTGTTGTTTCTTGTTTTTAGCCCACCGAGCACAGGCCCCAATGTGCCTGCAGCAAACAACAAGGGGCTTGTTAGCATAGAATCCCACTGTTGAATCCATTAATCACTAGAGAGAGAACAAGGATGTAGAGAGGGAATATTGACATGGATGGATGGATCCAAAAGGGTTCTTCCTCTATTTTTTTCTCTGCCCTTACGCTACGTGCGAGCCCATATTTAAAGTAAAAATTCAGCGTTTATTACCCATCCGCCCTGCTGTTTTTCGAGATCTTGAATTTCACCTAATCAAAATTAAGCCTCATTCAAATCGGCCAATCCAGTTTGTTTCTAGACTAAAGCAAATCTTAATGAATATCAAAGATTTTAGGTGTCTCCTTTTCCCAGACGGTCATTTTTTATCCTCTCTTTAAACTCCCAGAAATTCCCCCACGGGTATATTTAAGCCAGGGCCAAAGTCAGGCCATCCATTGGTTGAACTGGTTCATGAGATGGTTTTAATTGCTCTGATTACAGTAGCTAATGCGATACTCTGACTTACAGCACGGTTTTCCATTAGCTCAGTTCAAGCTCTTGTTCAAGGAACCATTATGAGTCCAACCTGGTAGTTTTGTCTTCTTGATTAACTAAATAAAGGATCTGCTCATCAGCATCGCATCAAACTTTAATGAAACCATAAAGGATAATGATATCTATTTAGTCAACAGTGTCATTAAAAGTGATGAACTCACAAATGTTTTTTATCCTTCCCGCAGACTAAACCCACGAGTGAATCGGCTGTGAGCAGCACCGGCGACCCGATGCACCACAAACGGTCTAAAATGAAACCTGAAGAAGAGCTGCCGAGTCCAGGAGCCGTCAGTGTACAGGTTGAGCTCATCTCACTTATCAATGAAAAGGTGTAGAGATCCTTGGTGCACACTGACCCCTAAGGTTGATTTAGAAAATAAGGTTAAGAAGATCCAGCGTGATCTTTTAGCACTCAGAATATGTGTTGTGGATTACTTTTAGATGCTGCTACGCCAAATTTTAGCTCATAATTATATATATTTTAAACTGACGGGATTTGTGACATTTTTGTGTTTTATTAGGTTAGTGCCTTTGGTGGTCATCTTGTATCTAGTATACATCAAAAGTCAAGCAGGTGCGGATTTACATCCAGAGTTTCATTAAATTCCAACTAAATGTTCTAATTTTGATAACAAACAACAGTTATGGGCAATGTTTTAAAGAAAGAAAGAAAACAATCTGTTATATAGCGCCTCTCAGGATCAAAATCATGAGGCGCATTACAAAAAACTTAAAGTATAAAAAAGATTTCAAGAAAATGTTAAAAATCTGTTTAAAATGAGAAAAAAGAGAAATTTGTGATAAAAAATGTGTAATGTAAGAAGAAAAATGATAATGCAAGGAAAGGGAGAGACAAAATGAATATGAAAGAGGGAAATTAGTGGATCGCGGGGAAAAGCGGGATAAGGGGAGGGTGGTGGTGAAGGTCACGCTAAAGCCATCTTGAACAAGTGAGTTTTCAGCTGATTTTTAAAGGAGACCACTGAGTCCACTGATCTTACCTCAGATCTCATGAAATCCATTGGTGCTCATAAAATACATTATATATGACTCTCAGCAGCTTACACACCATAATTTAGCTCAATATCTGTAAAATTGACAGATTTTTATTGTATATTCTAATATTAATTGGCTATAGTGGCCATCTTGATTCTCATTGACTGCAAAGTTAGTCAGGTACAGATGTACATCCAGTGATTATTATCTCAAAGCTGGATTAAAATCCATTTTATTGTTCATGAGATACTTGCTAACAAACACACGCGCACCTTTTGACATGAAGTGATAAAATCACAGATCTGAATGCTGCATTCATATAAATTATCCAGTTTTATTACTGGCTGTTTGTTGCTTTTTGATAACCGCCCTAATTCAGGTTAATCTTCCAAAGTAACACAATCATCGATCTTCCGGAAAAAGGAAATTGAAAGTGCTTTTGTTTAATCAAAATCTGAAGCAACTGGGAGAAGTGAAAGCAAAAACAAACCTAGTGATAGCAGTAAACATGTGCATCTGCAGGAAACCCCCGTTAGAGTCAGTTATCGGGCGCCGGTGGAGGCCTCGCCCCATTCGTTCCTGTAGGAGCCCACACCGACTCCCTGCTCTACCAAAGCGTGTGACAGTGAAATATGTCTGAGCTAATGGAGAAACGTACAGCAGGAAGAGGGGGGGGTGAGAGTCCTCAAACGTGCACCCGGTCCTGTCGTATAACAACCCCCCTCGTGTACAGAGGGGCTTTCACATCTGCATTTCCTCCCTCCAGGTTTTTCCAGACAAGGCCAGATTCACAGGAGCACAGAGACCTGTAACCACTAAACTGGGCCTTTTATGTGAAAAGTGTATTTTATGACAGCTTTACCTGTTTTGCGTTCATATTTTTCTCCAATTTTAAGTTTCATAGCATATGTGGGTCGTTGCTCCTTGTTTATCATTGTCGTGGTGGACTTTCAGGACCATCCTGATGGGATGACACTGGTGAAGGAGGAAGGGGACAAGGATGAGAGCAAACAGGAGCCGGAGGTGGTTTACGAGACCAACTGCCACTGGGAGAACTGCTGCCGCGAGTTTGACACCCAAGAGCAGCTGGTACAGGTGAGTGTCCTTCGAGCAACAAATGACTGATTTCTTGTAAGAAAAAAAAAACAGGTGAAAAAGGTAGGAAAAGCACGGGAAGCAGGTAAGTGAGGAAATCCAGAGATCTCACTTAAATAAACTTAAACACAAAGTTGGTACTCACCAAGGAAATTAGAGACATGAGCTGAAGGGAACTTGTTCATTGATTCAGCAATGAATGAACAGAAACTGGGAGCGTGAGAACAGAAGCAGGTGTGTTGAGTGTCAAACTGGGACAGCTGTTCAACCTTACAGAAAACCATACAAACCATGGCAAAAAAAGTGTGAGGTGAGGTCAAAGTAGAACCCGAGAATGCCGTCAGATAGTCAGCGGGGAGGCAAAAACCTGTGACACACTGGATTTTAACTACAGCATACAAGCTAGGAGCTAACGTAGATAATATGAAAAGGAAACCGAGGATAATATTTAGTGGGAGAGCTCATTACTCAATGCAGAACTGATCTGAAAACAAGCAATTATTTATTTGATTCTTTTTTTTTTTGTTTGTTTTGTTGCCATTTAAATAAACTCCTGTCCAGCAGGTGGCAGTAATGATCCATTAAGTTGGTTTCAAAAAAAGAAGAGGAGCAGATGGTGCATGCGGGAATGACATCACACCCAAGTTAACCGCGTTCTGGTCACCATAGTCAGAAGTCAGGATTCCACTCCAAGTCTCAAATGAAATGCCCGAATTTCGGGGCGTTTAATTTGGTTTTTCCTACTCGGAAGTCAGGATTTCCGAGTTGCAAGGACAAAACGAACGCATCATTAGTAAACAAAGAAAACAGCCAGTAAACACGAGGGGGATACCAATACCAGAAGAGCAGAAGGCAAAAATACCAATAAATGTAGACAAAAGAAACAAAACTTATTAAAAAAAAACCTAAAATCTCATGTTCTGAAATTTGACTTAAACACTGCTGAAAGACTTTGGCCTACTTCACACTGGAAGCACCGGCAGCGCGGAACAGCAGCAGAACGTCCCCGCTTAAAGTAGAATCCATCATGGGGGTGACTCGAACCAGCCGCGCCGTGGTAATTTTCAGGCGTGTCCCAGAAAGATAGGACCGGGTTCTATTTCTGCTGCCATCCGCTTCTGGGGCGCGACAATTTCCACAGTTAACATTGGGCTAGACAGGAAACCAAACCCCTGGTAATTTTCAAAATAAAAGTCTTTTGCAGCGATGTAATTTCATATGTAGTCATGTACGCCACTACAAGTGACTTAACAGCTTAGAGAGGAACAACATCACATAAGGCATCAAACAGCGATGTCAAACGGGATTTCCTTCTGTATGGCTTCATGGCGGACGGCATAAACTCGAGGGATTTTGTGATCTTGCGAGTCGAGCGAGGAGCACATTAGAAACTCCCCCGGTGGAGTGCTGCGACTGTCGCGAGTAAACCTTTCCGCTGCCGTTCCACGCCGCCGATGCTTCATGTGTGCAGTAGGGGTTCCAGATAAAGCAAAGGGCAGCATGAACATACCCCTACATGCCTCCAGTTTAAAATCAATAGGTGATTCATTATAAAGCCTTTAGAGTTTCATTTAGTTTGATTATGCTTTATTTTATCACATAAAGAAATAAACACAGATTGGCTTTCTTTATCATCTAATTTTCTGCTCTGTAAATAATTATCCCTTTGATGCATAACGGTCACTACAGTGGACAGGTACTCAAAATTGTTATTTATTTATTTTTGCTATTAAGCACAGCTGTTGAAGACTTTATTGCATGTGAGCCCCTCCATTTGAGCTTCAGCAAGTCAAGCCAACATATTTCATGTTCAGAATGCATGCTGTCCACTGAGCTGGACATGTAATAAATTATTTGTAAATTAACAAAATGTTACAAAAATATTTTTTGAAATTTGTTTCATTCACACCTAAAGATGAATGAAAAAAATTGTTTAAAAAATCATGGTTGAAGATTTCATAATTCATGCATCAAAGGGTTATACTGGTTTGTGATTAGCCAAATTGGTCATCCTGTATCAGAAAAGTTCAAGTATAAATTGTCCTTTTAATCACAATTTTAGTACATCAAAATAAATAAATCAAGACAGGCAGGCTCTTAAAGCGTCTCAAAGATTCTTGCTGTTTCCTCCCTCCGACCTTGACCCCTGCACCAACAGAAGCTGTTATTTTGGACTCTGCCTCCAATCACGCGTCTGGCAGCCTCGAGCGCTGAACGTTAGTAATGCCGGATTCCTGATCGGATCCAGGGACAGTGGTAATGGGCTCAAAAGCTGGAGTGAACATCTCACGGCTGGGCAGTGCTAACTGATTTGCCGGGTTAAGCCTCCAGGAGCTTTGTGTCCAGCACTGGACCGGACCCCCTCCCCGTCTGTTATCGGAACTCTCACACAAGCCCGGAGCTGGATGCTCCTCAACATCCCGCGCCCCGAGGGCTCGCTTTAAAGCGAAATATTAATAACGTCACGGCGGTGCCACCTCCGCCATTAGCTACACTGCTCATGAAGCTAAACGAGAGACCAAATTGAAGTTGGGCGAGCGACGAAATTACACCAATAAGTGCTGACATACACACTGGAGAAGAAAACCCTATCGTCACACATCTGATAGAAAGATCCCGAAGCTCTCCACAAATGTCTGTTTGCTGTCTTGACATTGCAATCCTCAGCTGCGATGGTAACCCCTATCTATAATTGATATCCTCAGCAGGAAAATGAGCTGCCTCCCGTGTTTGAAGGGCTCAGCTCAAAGGTTGAGGATCTTGACAACTTCTTGCTCCTGTTTCAGGAGGTGGGATGAGGGAAAGTAGGAGGAGTGGGAGGTCGGGGTGGCTTTTTAACGGACTACAGCCATGACCGTCGTCGCTGCTGGGATGCAACTCATTCCTGCGTGAAGCTTTGCACACCCTAAAACCTGATTTCTAACTTCATACCAGGAGTTGTTTCTTCTCTTTCATTTATGACATTTCACTTCTCAGTTTTTGTAGAGACACCAGAATCCCTGCCCTCTAACTCAGCAGCGAGGACGGGGAAATGCTCTTATCTCGCCACACCCCCACCCCCTCAATAATAGGATCAGTACTGTATTTGGACCACAGTGGCTCTCTTCACAATCTCGAACAGAGGGGGGCTTCGATATAACAAACAATAGAACGTCCCTTCCCCCTTGTTTTCTAAAATAGCTTTGGGGCAAAAGCGATCATAAAGGAGAATACTTACATTTGTTTTGTTTGCTCTTGTTTTTTCACCAAAGTTTGGACAAAGATCCATTTCCACTTGTGCCACCTTTTCCTACAAATCCCATAATGAGTGCACTGATTAAAAAGCCTTTTTCTTTGGGGTTGGCCTGATTTAAGAGTCACACCACCCTTGTCGCTCTCCACCTTGTTCGCCTGTAGTGCTCTTGATGCATATTTTTACACCCTTGAACACGCTTCACCGTGACGCGCCACGGCGTTTCCTTTATCGTGTGCGTTTAAGCGCTCACGGTCCTACCGATAAGATAAACATCAGATTTGTGCAATTTGGCTCACTTATCGGGCCTACCCAGTCAGCAAAAGCAAGGCGGGTGTCAATTTTAGCCTTCCATATTTATTTCATTTATTACATTTCTACTCTGTATACCTCTCCTTCTCCCTCTCAGCTCGACCCCCCCCCCCCTCTCTCTCTCTCTTTCTTTCTCATTTTTTCTCCAGTTTCTCCCTCCTCCACTCTTTAGCCCCTCAGAGGGAGCACTTTTACAGATAAGGCCTGGTGGTTTCTTTAATGTCTCTCTTGAAGTAGGCTTTTTTTCTTTCTCGCCCGGAGAGGCCAACCCCACACTCCCACAATTCTCTAATATCGTTATTATTTTCCTATTGATCCATCACTAATTCTCAGCTGCAGATAAACCGACATGGAAGCTGCATGTTTTCACTTTCTTTGCATGAGTAAATTTATTTTTTGCAAAGCAGGTTTTGAAATAAATCACAAAAAAGAAGCGACGATAATGTAATTGCATAGAAGTTTATCAAAAATGATCCGTCATTAAAAACTGTAAGTTTGTTTTCTGTGTGTTGCTATAAGCTAACCAGAAGAATGCGGATGGATGTCGCCACCTACAGTAACGGAGTTGAATGCACGTTTCTAACCAACACGTAAACTAGGATAAAGGCTCCAAGTCTTACGGTGATTATTGCTGTAGCTCGACTTACCTTGGGCTAATTATTTTCTTTACCTGTGTGTGTTTCTACCACAGGAACAAGGACTTAAACTGATTATTCTGGTAGACATTTGCTGCGGAAACAGGCCCTGTTATGAGGAAGTACGCTTGAATCTATCTGGGACTTTTAGGGCTGTTGGGGAGCAAGTTTCACATCTGACTGGTTCGGTCTTCCCGTTGTTTCCAATGTGCAACTGATGTTCATGTTTGGCAAACTGCAACATTAATGGATAATATATTCAATTCAATTCCATCCATCCATTGTCTGAACCCGCTTTGTCCACATAGGGTCGCGGGGGGGCTGGTGCCCATCTCCAGCGGTCAATGGGCAATCAGACAGGGTACACCCTGGACAGAGAGCCAGTCCATCGCAGGGCAACACCGAGACACACAGGACAAACAATCACACTCTCACACCTAAGGACAATTTAGACGGACCAATTATCCTAACAGTCATGTTTTTGGACTGTGGGAGGAAGCCGGAGTACCTGGAGAGAACCCAAGCATGCACCTTCTTGCTGCAAGGCAACAGCTCTAACCACTGCTCCACTGCGCAGCCCTCAATTCAATTCAAGTTTATTTATATAGCGCCAAATCACGACAAGAATCGTCTCAAGGCACTTCACATAATAAACATTCCATTACAGGTCAGTTCATTAAGCCAATCAGAAAAAAGTTTCCTATATAAGGAACTCAGGTGTCAGTGACTTTACGGCAATCCCCTGGCAGTCCTACAGCAAGCATTTAGTGACAGTGGAGAGGAAAACTCCCTTTTAACTGGAAGAAACCTCCAGAGAATCCTGGCTCAGTATAAGCAGCCATCCACCACGACTTTCTGGGGATCGAGAAGACAGAGCAGACAGACAGACAGACAGACAGACAGACAGACAGACAGACAGACACACACACACACACACACACACACACACACACACACACACACACACACACACACAACATATATACCAAGTAATGTTTCTATGGCTACATTGCGATTTCTTAGTAAATATTCTATTTGGTGAGAGATAAACTTTATTGTATTTATCCTAGTGAATATATAATCATACTGGTAAACTAGTAGTAGCACATCCAAAGTCAAAGAAAGTAAAATGTTATTATCAGGAGAGGGAGAATGTTTAAGTGGTTAGCAACAGTGTTCAAGATGATGGCCCCCTCCATGAGGCCACCACAGCTCAGCAGAACACCATTGTAGCTTCTTCTGGGGAGAAAAACAGAGAGAAAATGAAGTTAACAGCTGAAATTGCAGGAAATAATACAGTTAAAGAGCAGATTGTAGAAGAAAGTAGAAGAGTGTGGAAAGTCGTCAGTGTGTCCTCCAGCAGTCTAAGCCTATAGCAGCATAACTACAGAGATAACTCTGGATAACCTAGCTTTTTAGTTGGAGGCATGTTGGAGGCAGGGCAAGGAAGAGCCGTCTTTACCGACTGTACACTCCACCTCCGTGTACTCCCCCACTTGTCCAGATCTGGGCTATCATCAGATTTTAGCCATAGGCCCTATCAAATAAAAATGTTTTAATCCTAATCTTAAATGTAGACAAGGTGTCTGTCTCACGGACTAATAATAATATATTGTGTAGCTTACACTTTTGGTGAAAATGCAACCGTTTATGAGAATTTCATTAAATTCCCTCTAGGGATACCTCTTTTACTAAGTACCACTCCTTTACCTTTACGAAGTCTGTTACTGAAGTCTCGTGGTTGGGGGTCTGTGCGTACTCATCGTAACCGTTAACCGCTCCAATCCAGGTCAAACACGTAGCTGGTGTTATGATGTTCTCCGATGGAGAGCTGGAGCTCGTTGTGTGCAGCCTTGTTGAGTCTGCTGTTGTGCGCCTCCGCCGTGTTGAATGGAGATAAACGCAGGCGCAGCCTGACTCCTCCCCTTTGGCTGCTGGCACAGGCCTTTAATTGGTAAAATGCAGATTTTTCTTGATCAGGAGAAGGATTAGGCCTCTTATCTGTCTAGAGTATCTTACTCTGAGATGAAAAGACTGCTGAATTACACATGCCAATTTCTTCTCCCTGCCCCCTGCTTCTCATTCTCTATCCCTCACTAACCCATTCTCGGTTCCCCCCTTTTATACCTCCTCCCTCCCTCCCTCTCTCTCCCATCTTTTCCCTTTTTAAGTTCCCCCCCCCCCCCCCCCCCCCTCTCGTTACACAAAGCAGCTCAGCAACTGACATCACAAAAGAGCATATGATTTATTAGGCAATGTTTGATAAAGCTAAACGGTGTTGCGGGTCCCATCGCTTTGTGAAATTGCCTTGTAAACAGGCCCTCTTTTCATGCACGCTTGCATCCTAATGCATGAAGGCTGCGTCCCAAAGAGGATTTGATAAGGAGACATGGAAATGGATACTGAAGTTAACAAATGGCGGAGAATAGCAGAAGAAATACTGGATCTAGGGTGTTACCATAACCAACACAGAGGGGATTTTTATACCAGCAATTTATAAAGTTTTAGAAAGCATACAAACCTTTCCAGTTTGTTGTTTTGCTGAAGCCGCGAACCAGTAAGGTAGTACCTGCACCTGTTTGTGTGGATGTTCACCATTCATGCGTCACAGGCGGCTCCAGTGTCCCCTGTGTCCGCGTCCTTGCATTCCCTGTCGTGAAACTCCCTCCTAAATCCATCTTGGTGGCGTTTTTACAGTTGTTGGCCGATAAGCTGGCAGGGGGAAGATGAATAACCTGCTGCGCCACTGTTATCAGCACCTGTTTGTCGATTTGGCCGACCAGCGGGACCCGTCTGCTCAGCATGGAGATTATTGATTCAATAAGAATTGCCATTAGATCATGCCATTAGGCTCCTCGTCCCCCACTATACTGCCTGTCCCCCCTCTCTGTCAGCTCAGGGGCTAATGCATCACACCCGTCAGCCACCTCCTTCATTTGTACAGTGACTCTGTGTGAGTGCCGTGCCAGCTGTAGGTGCGTGATCCAACACTGCGGCCCTCTCCCATTGCTCTCAGGATATCGAACGGCGGTCACAGCGGACCGATCGCTTGCCACAGGGATTCCCTCACAGAGAGGGGGACAAGGAGGGGGAAGAGTCAGGTTTTCCGAATCTCCGACCAAGGTGGGGAGAAGATGGATCTTAGGGAACATGTCTACCGTCTATGATCGCCCAGTTTCCAATCATCATCCCTGGAATTAGTCTTGTTTTGTCACTTTAGATTTGGAAAACGTCAGCTGAGTATATTGGAGGCTCTTTGATGATCTATTAGCATCAATAGAACTTTTGTTTGTAGACTTTGTCGGTGTCTCCTGTTGATAATCCTCCTTTATCTTCACTGGGAGGTTGAACCCAGTGAGGTTTCTGTTGAATATCGTGGTCACGGATGATCAGGGTGCTCACGATGCACAATGACGAGGTGCAAGGGGTCTTTGTCAAGTTGTGTCCTGCATTTTGTTTCAATAGCTCAACAGTCTTCAGAACAAAGGCACGCATAATGAATCCCCCAGACGTTTAGAAGCATTTGGGTCTGTATGTATTCCCCATCCTTCCGTCCGGCTGTCTGTTCCAGCCCTCAGGTCAAAAGAGTCCTTTCTGCTGCTCAGGAATGTCGTAATAATGCTGGCTTCCTTCTGCCAGGATATTGTGTGTTTCTCTGGGTTTAAACTACCATCAGAAAGGCACTTCAGAGGCCACCACATTTGTTGTCTCTTAAAGAGAGCCTGGTGTTGACTTTATCCCTAGAGGGTAGGCTTTCACCCAACCTCCTTTTCTTTTTTACATCCATTTTTACAAGACCGTTAGTGAAAGAAATAACAAAGATGGACAGAGGAAGGCCAACGGGTAGTCACAGGAAAAAGTACTTGTAAAGCCCTCGCATCTCAGCCTTGACTTAACTTTTGATTTGTCTGCTCACCTCTCTGCCTTCTTTCTTCCTTCTTAAGCCACAGCCTGAAAGTTGCTATGACAGCACAACTGTCAGAGGTTGTCACAGACTGACGAGGGCCCAAAGTGAAGGGAAGTGACAGGGTTTTATTAGAAATCCTATTCATATTGGACACTGAGACACCCGAGCCTTTGTGCACTTCTCAGCTGAATAAATTAGAAATGGAGAAAAGAAGAAAATGAAAAACTACATCTTAGCTTTCAAAGAAAAAATAAAAAAAAAACTGATTAGCTTAACATTCAGAAACACTTTCTCATTTTCTTTCATTAGCACATAAACAACGACCATATCCATGGAGAAAAGAAGGAGTTCGTGTGCCGGTGGGAGGAATGCTCTCGAGAGCAGAAGCCCTTCAAGGCACAGTACATGCTGGTGGTCCACATGCGTCGCCATACTGGGGAAAAACCGCACAAGTGCACAGTAGGGACCCGCATATTTGTTCAGTTCACTTTATTTATTTGCAGATGATATTATACTATAATAGGCTGCTGCAGAGTGTGAGTTCTCGTCTTTCTTTCTTCAGTTTGAAGGCTGTGCCAAGGCCTACTCGCGGCTGGAAAACCTCAAAACTCACTTACGATCCCATACTGGTGAGAAGCCCTATGTGTGTGAACACGAGGGCTGCAACAAGGCTTTTTCCAATGCTTCAGATCGGGCGAAACATCAGAATCGCACGCACTCCAACGAGGTATCAACATATGCATTTTTCACAGTTTGCAAACTTAACCAGCTGTTTAACAAACTGCTTTATTATGTTTTTCAGAAACCCTACGTGTGTAAAATCCCAGGTTGCACCAAACGATACACGGATCCCAGCTCCTTACGGAAGCACGTGAAGACAGTACACGGGCCAGAGGCGCACGTCACCAAGAAACAGCGCGGGGACTACCCTCGCCCGCCAACGCAACCGCGAGAACCTGGGGGCAACAGCCACGGTCGGTCGCCGGGGCAACTGCCCATGGGTGGGTACACGGACCAAAGGGAGTACAACCATGTTACCTCAAAACAAGATGAATGTCTGCAGGTCAAGTCTATCAAGACAGAGAAACCCATGGTAAGACTTTATTATACGCTTAAACAAAATTTTATTCATTTGTTTGAATTCTTCTAACAATTCTCCAAGATCTTCTAACGAGTGACTCTTTTCCTCTATCCAATGCTTCGGCATTTCTCTCCATTCCTTTCTAAGGACAGTGGGTAATCAGGTGAGATAGGTGACATTGAATTTGTAAAATTGGTGTAATTTTTTTCTCCATTTCTCATCACACATCCTGGTGTTTTCTCATCCTGTTGATCACTTTCACCCACTGTCGGTCTCAGTCTGGCATAAAGAAATGATTATATACATTTTGTTGTGCAGGCTGAAAAGCCTTGTGACAGTTCTATGAGACATTATTAGACAACTGTCCTTTTTGTAAACATTCAGACAAAAACACAACTTTCAGGGTCAGACCAACTCAAAATCATTCTGTTACACAGGGATGGAAATGTATTATGGTTATTTGAAGATATGCATCTTGAATACAATTGTCAGTATTTTAAAAAAGTGTTGATAAATGTTGCAGGATGCACTCCTACAAACTGAAATTATAACAAAAACAAGAGAAGCTGCAGCAATATTGGGCTTTTACAGCTTTCTAAATGTATTTTTGAAATTAGTATTATTTATGGTGGTAGTATATTTTAATTTTACTTGTTCCCATGTTTTAATAACTCAAGAGCCCATACCACTCAGAGCTGCTCGCCTCCTCCAAAAAAAAATTTTTTTCTGGTGAAGGAAGTGGAGAGAAATCCTCCAGACTAGACTCCCTCTTGGTCCACCAGGCAATGCCCCCTTTTAGCTAAGACTCTGGTAGGGAAGTGGCTTACTCTTTAAGATACCTTCTTTATTAGGGATGTGTATTGGTGAAATTCTGGTGATACGATACGTATCACAATACATGGGAGACGATGCAATGTATCACGATATATTGCGATACATTCAGTCAGACGATATTAGCGATTTTTATCGTCCAAACTGATACTTAACATGTATAATATGAGGTATCTGAACCATAATAGAGGGATTTACATTTCATTGGTGGAAACAAAACCCATTGCTCACTGCTGCTAATTGGAAGTTGGCATTTAAATTGCACCAAAAGAAAATACACAAATGTTTGCATGTAAATTCTTCCAAAAATTAGATGCACAGCTTTTGAATATCGACGTTATATTGCTAGAAAAAAATCACGATATATTGCCATATCGATATTTTCTTACATCCCTATTTTTTAATTTTTTTATTGTTGTTGAGTTGGGGCTCTTACTGTGAAGGATTTTAAAAGAAGTTCTATCTCAGATTTGTATTCTAACAGTTCTATCAAGTATGTACACTCATAACTCCGGCTACAGTAGTGACAGGAATTTAAAAAGCAAACTTTGAGAAAAACTTGTTTAAACTCTTACCCCGGTTTCACACTGCAAGCATCAGCGGTATGGAACAGTAGCGGAGCGGCTCACTCGCGAACTTCAAAGCGGTCCTTTTCACACCGTGAGAGTCTTGGCCGCTCCTCGAGATTTTCGCCATCCTTCCTCATCGAGAGATCACAACCCCCACGAAGCATCACGCCGTTGCAATTCTCGAAAGAAAGTGGTGGTAAACAAAGCCGTTCGGTCACACGTGCTTACGTAAGTTATATATAACATTGCAACGTTATATTTTATTTTGAAAATAACCGGGGATTTTACACTGAAACCGTGTGTGGTTTCTTGTCTCGCACTATGTGAACTGTGGAAATTTACGTGTCCCAGTAGCGGCTCGCGGACAAAATAGAACTTGATCGTATCTTTAGCGGCGCAGTGCGGTATGCCGCTTCTGGGACACGCCTGGTGGTTTGAAACACTCCATAGACTATAATTGGATTCTATTTGAAGCGGTGCCGCTTTGCTGCCGGTCCGTTCTGCTGATGCTTGCAGTGTGAAACCGGGGTTATTTTCAAGTGCTGCAGCAGGCTAAAGATTTATAAGTTACCAAGTATGGATTTCTTTATTAAAACAATAATGGTAATAGTGCAAAACCTCTTACCAGAGTATTAATAAAACAGATGTCAACTATGTTTGGCATTCAACCCAACATATGAAATGAATCCCGTAGAAATCCTCATACAGGAATAGCATGCTTTGGAACAGCATCATTGACACTGTATATTCACACTTTTGTTAGGTTTAATACGCTTATTTCCTGTTTGTTTGGGTCTCCCAGACGTCTCAGCCAAGCCCTGGCAGTCAGTCTACATGCAGCAGTGACCAGTCCCCCGTCAGCACCTATCCCAGCAGTGGAGTCCAGCTTGCTGTGAGCGCCGGACGCTTGCCAGGGGAGGGTCTGGAGGAGGATGAGGAGGAAGAGGAAAATGAAGAGGAGGCAGAGGAGGAGTGTGAGGTGGAGCCGTCCCCCATCATGGACTCAACGGTCTCTACGGCGACTGCAGCCATGCTGACCTTGCAGGCGAGGCGAAGCATTGGCCGCCCCCTGCGCTGGATGGAGCACATGAAGATGGAGAGGCTGAAGCAGGTGAATGGAGCACTGCCCAGGCTGGGGTCTCTGTCCCCTACACCACCCCCGAAAGGCTCTGCATTACCAAGCATCCTGGGAAAGGGTAAGTTTATCTACTTGATCACGGGCGCTATATAAATAAACTTTTACTTACTTACTTAAAACTTTTGTCATGCCATTCTATATGTGCTTAAAAATTATAACCCTTCTTACATCTTGCAGATTCTTTTTACAAAGCACCTGTAGACAGATTTTCCAGAACCAAATTATCCCAAATTCTATCTAGCCAGTTTTGGCTGAAGGGTTCGGGCAAAACAAAAGTTTCTGGAAAATGATATCATAAGCATATCAAACTGTACATCATATCAGTGAGAATAGCATGTAATGTGATGTTTCATGGCTGATTTCTGCCAGATCCCTCAAACAAATGTTCCCATCGGTTTGAAGGATCTCTCCCCCACTTTACTTTTTTGGTTGCTTTCTAATTCCACTAAAATGTGTCTTTCACCACACCTAATTTTCCTTGGTTATTTATCTCTGTTCTAACTTTCATAATTTGCCTGTCTCTATCTATGTCTCTCCCTAGGATCCTGCCTGGGCAGGCAGTGGGGGGAGTCTGCTCCTCAGCCACCTGCTCCTGCTGAGCTGGGCAGCACAGAGCTAACGGTACTCAGTTTGCTCAGAGACCGGCGCGACAGCAATGGCAGTGCCACTAGTTCAGCCTATTTGAGCAGTAGCAGGCGCTCCTCTGGCATCTCCCCCTGCTTCTCCAGTCGACGCTCCAGCCAGGCTTCCCAGAGCGAGGGCCCAATGTTGGCTTCCCACCACCGCCGCATCCATAACCTCAGCTCCACTGGCTCTTACGACCCCATTTCCACTGATGCCTCCCGCCGTTCCAGCGAGGCAAGCCACTATGGAGGTGGGGTAGCAGGAGGAGGTGGAGGGATACTCCCAAGTGGGAGTTGTGGAAGTGTAGGGGGAGTTGGTTTTGGAGGAGGAGGTGGGTCACGGGGGATCCTCAGTTTAACCCCAGCACAGCACTACCACCTTAAAGCCAAATATGCAGCAGCTACTGGCGGCCCACCTCCCACGCCTCTACCTAACATGGAACGTATGAGTTTGAAGACTCGAATGGCCATGATAGAAGACGGAGGCAGCAATCGCTGTTTGCCACCCCTTGTAAGGCCACCTCGCTGTGGTGAAGGCAGTAGTGGCTTTAACAATGAGTACATGGGACACGTAGGTTACAGAAGGAGGGTATTCTATCCTGGAGAGGCACCACTAAATGGAAACCGCAGGGCCAGCGACCCAGTTCGGACACAAGTTCCTGAAACGTTCAGTTTACCTCCAGTTCAACGCTTCAACAGCCTTAATAATCTCTACCATCTTCCTCCTCTGTCTCACCATTCTACACCTGACTCTCGTAATTTCGTCCTACAAAACTACACACGCTCAGAGGGCAATATGCAGAACTTACCAAACACATCTAGCATTGCAGAACAAGCAGCCTTAGAAGCTCTGGCCATGGAGGATAATGAGGAGGCAGGCCTATTGCTCGAGGATGAGGATATGTTACCCGATGACCTAGTGCAGTATTTACACTCCCAGGTTCAGATGGACAGTGGCTCTTATGTTCAGATTGAGAACCAAATAGCCTCTACCCAAAGGGACATCTCCCACCCAGCAATGGAGCCAAACCAGACTTCAGCATTGTATGGGACCTTCCCTTGTTCCCACAGTCTCCAACAGCAGCAAATATCAGAGAGGAACAGCCCAAGTAAGCTTCCCATCCAATGGAATGAAGTCAGCTCTGGAAGTGTTGACAGGTCTCCTCAAAAAGATCCCAGCTACCACCCACAGTGTGGAAGGTGGCCTAGTACAGAACATGAACCCACATCTGTACCATTTGGCAAGTTCCAAAATATGGTGGTTCACCAGCACGTATCTACTGACTTCCAGAGCAGCTACCCCCTGGAAAATCAGTCTCAAAGTCTTAACCCTGGGGTGAAGCTAGAGGCGTCCCCTAACTCCTGCATGGAGATGAGAGGTACTGGCCACAACTCTACAAACACATTTGACAGGTCAAATTTCTTGCAGATGAGCAACAGGCCTCTTCCCCAAATTCTGAAACCCCACATGTCCAATGGACCTATGAAACAGAGCTGCTTCCAGCAGAACAATAACGATACCTCTTGGCAGGTTGGAAACAACCTAACTCTTAGCAGGGCCTTCATGGACAATCTCCATAGCCAGCTTCTAGGAAATGCTTCTTATCACGATCGTCTGGTACATGTCCCTCACCCACCAATCAACAGTTCCAAGTCCTTTGTCAAGACCCAGCAGTCAGAGAGCTCAAGCGAAATTCAGCCAAGCCCAAACGGATCCCAACAACTACAAAGTGGAGACCAGTGTTCTCTTGCATATCAGGTATCAGGGCTGAAACTGGAAAATCCAGATCCTGAATACATTGGGCAAGCCTTTGCGGACTGTCTTTCCTACGAACCTGCAAATTGCAAGGCCTCCTCATTCCCTGTACTGGAGGACCAGAGTTTGTTGGACTCCATGGCAGTGTCTGAAGATACAGGTGGTGGCTGTGAGAACCCAGTAGCTCTCCCCTCCCCAGGTACAGACCAAGTGACCAGCACAGTTAATGGCCAGGTGGCCAGTGTATTAGATGTAGGGGTAAATGTGGACTTTGGTACCATATTGGAGGATAGTTACGATCAAGGCAGCCTGGTCTCAGGGGTCTTGAGTCCCTCCATCTTCCAGGGCATGTCTAGGACCTCATCACGCCTCACCACCCCTCGGGCATCAGCTGCCTTCCAGAGTGTGGCCCCAGGCCTGAGTAACATGGCCATTGGAGACATGAGTTCCCTTCTCACCACCCTCGCTGAGGAAAGCAAGTTCCTAGCTATCATGCAGTAGCTGCTTCTTCTCTCTGCTTTCTCCTTCCATGGAAACGAAAAATGGCAAACGAAGGAGAAAACATTGGTGTATGTGAAGATTAAGACAATAAAAATGGCAATTATGAGAACTTTGTGTAATTGCCATTTGATTTTAATGTAGGAAAGCGACATCCCACATAGAGCAGGGATGTGTCCAGATTATGTGTAATAAAGAGTTATATTCCTTTTCTGGAATGAAGGCTATTTTTGGAAGCCCTTCTCTTTGTACAATAAGATGGTGAGGACAACTCATCTCTCTAAATCAGTATTCTGTGTATTGTAACTGTTTTAGCTGTACATCCTATTTGTAAAAACGCATGTACTCAAGTTAAACACTGTCTATATAAGTACATAGACTAGATCGTGTGCCAAGTATCAACCGATCTAATATCAAAGGTACAACAACACTAAATCTTTGACGTTCCAGGTGAGACACAGTGTCGTCCATTTAAAAGGCCCTGAAGATAACTTTAAATATCATAGCTTTTCCTGGGTGTTATATTTACATTTGATGTCATTTTGTTTGTATGTTACTTTTGTGAAGCTGTAAACGTTTCAGTGCATCTACCAAGTTTTACCAAGAGGTATTTCTCATCAAGAGCCAGTCCAAAAATAATGAACGAGACATCCAAGTCTTCTGCCATAGATTGTCGTCTACTTGATATCTAAATGGCTCGGTCTAGTTAGTCTGGTAAGGTACTCACAAGTGTGTGTAACAGTGTTTTTAAAAACTTTTTTTTGTATTCTGTTTGTTGGATTGCACGAATGGACTTTGTGTCCTACAATTGGTGCTTTATGTATTTGTACATGAATTGATATGAGTACTTGTTTGGTTTTAATGTGTGCTAATGACCAGTACTTGGCAAGGTTTGCAGCATTTCACTGAGTGCTTCAACATGATATGTTTTGTTCTATAGAAAATCATTTGTTTTGTTTTCCAAAGCTCTTAAAGTTCAGTATGTGGACTGCCATCAAGTATTGCAGTGACTTCGTCAGCCGTGTTAGTATTGCCTTGCAGTCTTCTGTAACTGCACACAGAAAATCGAGGAGTTTACCTTTCGTTCAGAGAATTTAGGTACAAATCGTTTTATTGTTCTTTGGTACTTTTTGTTATTTTGTAGCCATGCTTTGATGAGGTTTTGTTGTTTCAAAGACGTGGAGCTGGTTTCCTTTGAAAGAGGGAACTGCTGAGATATGTGCCTTAAACGTATCTGCCTGTCGGTAAAAAGAAAGATCACTGCCAATCTTCCATTGTGAATGAAAATAAAACAATTTCAAACTTAAACATGTAAAAGTGTCTCGTGAGACGTGAAAAATAAATGGAACAGAACATTTATATGACAAAAGTCTTACTATCAGAAGATTTGTAACATGCATTCTGCTTTTCTTTTTCAAGTTTTCACATTTATTGTCCTTTTATATATATATATAAATATATTATGTAAATAAATGACTTCTTCTGTAGGCTTAGTAAAGGGAGTGCGGCGTGTCCTGGGACCAATAAAGAATTGACTTTGAAAGCAGAGATTCCCAGGCAAAGGCACGGCGCTTTACCGCCGCCAGAAGATCAGCTTCGCTCTTTTATAACTGACAACAAATGTTTGTATGGTTTTAATAAAAATGGAAATTATATTTTCAGTCTCTGTTCTTCTTTTTGACATATTTAGATATTGCAGCAAGCCAACAAAAAGTAAGCACACCTTCTTTCTTTCCCGCGGTCTACAGGTCAGAACAGGTTAAGTGTTTACAATTTGGTAAAAACAACCACTGAAGAATTTAAATATAACATTACACCATATCGTTAAAACAGCAGAAACAGAATAATTAAAACTAAGTACGTTGAAAATAATATATAGAAATGAGACTGTTGCTATACGTCTATATCTATACCTTAGTAAGGAGGGAAGATGCCGACCAATGTTTAAGGAACCTTTTAAATGATCAGGAGTCGGTCAGTCCGCTACATGTGGGATTCATTCAGCACAGTAGTCCGTCCCCCTAAGAGAACATTCAGAGAGTCAACATCCACATGTCAGAGACTCAGTTAGCATGTTAACTCTGACTAGTTGACGACTTTAGGATTTGAGAAGACTGAACAGAAACATGATAGAATGGCTCAGGTTTGCAAACCACAACTTCTGGATGAATAGTAGATAAGACCATCTTAAAGTTAAAGTCCCATTAGTTCTCACACACAGGTGTGTGTGCGAAATTTGTTCTCCGCATTTGACCCATCCTCTGGGGAAGCGGTGAGCTGCAGACAAGCCGCGCTCGGGAACTATTTGGTGGTTTAACCCCCCAATCCAACCCCTTAATGCTGAGTGTCAAGCAGGGAGGCATTGGGTCCCATTATTTCAAAATCTTTGGTATGACCCGACCAGGAATCGAACCCCTGATCTCCCACTCTAAGATGTTAGACGTCACCTTTGTGGAAAATCAAACACACACCAGCACAACGGTGGACGTGTTACGAAGCGGGCCTGCTTTGCTCAGACTCAACCATGAACCTGTCTGCAAACCAAAGTATTAAATAATCAATGTGGGATCATCTGAGGCTTTTGTCACATAAAAAACTATTGCAGAAAGAAAAACAATAATTACTGCAACATTTTATAAAAAAAATAAAATTCAGCAAACATCAACTGAATAAAGTTTGCAGAAATGTCTTACAGAAGAAAATTACTTTGATTTGCCAAAAGTTGTCATATGAGCTCTTTTTCACAAAATACATACACTTTACAATGAGGGCCCCTCATTAACGATACTTGGTGCATTAGTAAGCATTAATTACCTAGTATTAACAACTGCTCAACCATATTAAGTAATGTATTACTTAGCAGACACCTCTTTTGGCCTCTTGTCCTAACCTTAAAGACACTTAATTGTTAACAATACCAGGAACGTTAATAAAGGGAACCTTTGTTTATTAATGCTTAATAATGCACTAAGTAACACGAATAAAGGGGGACTCTTTGTAAAATGTTACCAATACATTTAACTCACTAACATATCAAATCTGTTGCAAATGTGATATGAAATCCTTAATTAAATGTAAAAGTAAATACCTTGACACTGGTTCGGGGTTTGAATATTTCTAACGCACAGATAAAGTTTTCAGATGCCTCTATCGCCCTCTAGTGATCATTTTACGGTGATACCCCCAGCTGGTAGCAGAGCACCAGCCTGACTTGCTCTCATGAATCTGAAGGCCATAAATGACTTGTTTGGTTACATATTCAGATTAAAGGCAGCCATGTCCTCATCTCTTCATGTTGAGATTAAAGCCAGCATGCTTTAGCGTGCCAGATGATTCTCACTGACACCTTCACCGGTGGTTATCCCACTACAGCCTACATGTCTTTACAAACCCCTTGAGGTTGACAGCCCATCAGCTCCGATCAGAAGCCTTATTACCAAACTCTGCTCCGCTCAAGCACAGGGAGCTCTTGCATCACTCTTCTGCTTTCAAATGGGAGAAAAATAGGAGTTTTTTTCTAAACGAGACTCCCATTATGCTTTTCAGGAGCTCAACACAAGTGCAATCATGTAATGGAGCGAAGCACCAGAGTGGGAAATAGTGAAAATGGAGATTTCACTTTTGATGCTGCAAAGTTCTTGCAGCCTTGATCCTTTTTACTGTGAGTACGAACCCTCATCAAACATGTTTTCATCTTTATGCACTTATTGAAGCGGAAGTCTGATTTTTCTGTTTTCACACAAACTGTAACATTTGGTAACTACTTCTTATGATGAAACTTACCCATTGAAATCTATAGGATTTTGGTGAAACAGGGGGGTAAACCCCGCCCCCTTTTGGAGCTCTTTTCATTTCATAATGGAAAATATTGATCAAAGTTGTGGGCCTCTACATGACACGAACTGGTATTTTTCACTTATACCGTCAGTTTGAATTTGATGGGTTTTGATCAGAATGTTCGCAGCTGATAGTTTCAACTTTTGCAAACTCTTCTTACCCCTGCAACATTTTCAGTAAATGCAAATACTTCAAAATGTCGACATTTTGTCTCCTTTCACCACTGTGTCCCTTACTGCTGTTGGACTTTGTCATTGTCTTCTTCTGGTCCCAGAGCACTGAGAGTTTTCACCCAAACTTCAATTGACCTTAATGTGTGCATCAAAGCATTTTAAATGATTATTTCTGATTATAATCAATTTTCATACAGGCTGAACATGAAAATAGTCTCCTACACCTATCTGCTGCATTAGCTTCTGATAGAAAATAGACGGTGACACTCTGACTTGAAAAGCCTGACAGCATGACTGTGTGAACACTCATGGACTCACCCATCTTGACTCAACGATGGAAGGCTGTTGTTGGTTAAGCATCCAGGAAAAAGCAGATAACATCTCGACTAGTAGAAGCTAACCATTAGCATTAGCAACTCCACCACACAGCAGAACTCCTCCAGGGTTGTTATTTGTGGGGATAAAACATCCATGTTGTAAAATAAAGTCTACTACTACCAGAGGCAATTTATTTTGATCTGTCTTCTGCAAACTTGATGTAGTTTACACATTCTGTTCTCTATTAAATTGATTCTTAGAATTTCGGCATTAGGAATCATTAAAAAGCTTTTCTTTCTCTGTGTTTTATTCAATAAGACCGATCAGGGGATATTGTTCATTATGAGGTCTGAAAGAAAAACAAGCAAACAGCTGTTTGTTTACAGTAGGAAACAATTTATTACTAAAAAGCTGTTTTATACTGAAGGTGCTCTTTCAGTAGCGTTTCCACAACTATTGTTTATTGTAATCCACAAGATTGGTTTTACCACATCATGTAAAGAAAAAAAAACATACGTGAAGGAAAGCGACTTTAGACTGTATATACACAACATTAGAGGAGGGTCACGGGTGTGGCATCGTTTGGTGTTTAACACACCAAGCTCAAACAGGAGGCACTTAAATCTGAGAGCCTTTAGAGCCAGAGAATTGGACGAGGGGTTAAAAAATGAAAAACAAAAAAATTTCTACCAGTTTTAAAAATCTTAATCAGAAATGCACGTTTTTCTTTCAGATCAGGTTGTGACTGCAGTTATGGAGCTTCAACACAGGGCTGCACCACATTCAAAAGCATGCATCATCCCACTATGAGCAATGTGGTCAGAAACAAATGCTGCACTCTGACCTTTCCTCGTCTGCTGCTTGATTTAGTTGATGCAACAGACTCGTCAGTATTTACAGGAATCATAGTTTCTTTAATCACTCCAGTGCCATTTAAATTAAAAAGTAACTGCATTTGATGGTATGAGGGGAAGTATACAATGAAAAACAAAATCAAAGCGTGTAACTCAGAATGGCTACTATCTCAATGATCTATTTACAATAAAACACAATAAAGAATCCATTAGAGTCCTGCTGAAAGAACAAAACTGGGTGAGATTCTGAAACAAGAGTTCAGAGGTTTGCTGCTTCGCTCCAGAGCTGGTTTAGTGGTCGCTGCTGTCCTGTCCGCTCTGGGAGGGTCTCAGATCTTCTCCTGTATAAAGGGGTGCTGCAGAGCCTGGTTTATGCTGATGCGTTTAGCCGGGTCCAGCATCAGCGTGCCCTCCAGCAGGTCCTTCAGCTGCATCACCTTCTTCCTCTGGTCCTCGGGCAACCGCTGGCCGCCGATGAGTTCAGACAGCAGGTCTTTGGTGGGGTTGATGGTGCTCATTACCGTCACCTTTTCCTGGTGGACCAAAAAAAAAAAAAAGTCAAAGTTAATAAAAAATCACTTTAATATCAGGGAAACAGAATTTAGAAGACCTTCTCACCCTTTCAGTCACTTTGTCTACTTCAATGTAGAGGAAATTCAAGTTCTGGTCGAAGTGCTGGTCTTTGAACAAACCTTTACGAATCATCTGAAGAAACACGACAGGAAGTTGCATCACGCGCTGAACAGCAAACACGATGTGAAATGATGCGAGCTTACCTTGTTGGGCATCTTGCCCTTCAGGTCCATCGCCAGCTTCAGCATGTGATTGTTGGAAGATCCGGGGAGCAGGATCTTCCCGGTGTACAGCTCATACAACGTGCACCCCACCGACCACATGTCGATCCCGTAGTCGTAAAGCTTTCCTATGACTGAGGGAAACACGCTCGGAGTGAAGCTCAGGCGAAACAGAAACCGAACAAAAGGAGAAAATTTAAACTTACTGATTTCTGGAGCTCTGTAAAATCTACTGACAAGATACGGCGTGATGTCATTATCAGCCACATGTGAGGCTGAGCCAAAGTCACAAAGCTTCAGAATGGTTTTAGACTCGTTCACCTTGAAAGAGGACCAAACACAATGATGTTAAACACACGCGGCTGTTGTTCTGAGCACTCTGGAAGGTTGACTTGTGTTAGACCGCACCAGGATGTTGTCTGGCTTGATGTCAGCGTGGAGGATGTTGCATCGCTTCAGCAGCTTGAGCGCCAAGAAGAGCTGCTGGCTGTAGGAACGCACAGCTTTGATGTGGAGTCCAACGTCTTTACCGTACTTCTTCAGCACCTCTCGCAGATTCATACTACGGGTGAGACGGGCAGGTGGTCATCAGATAAAAGCTGCGGTGAGAGATGTAAACAAAGACGGTTTCTCCTGGGTACCTGAGCGGCTCAAACACCAGACAGAGATGCTGCTTGTGGTAGAAGTGTCGGAAGAGGCGAAGGCAGTGGAACTTATCGTCAGGATCGGCATCGTTTAGCTTCCGGAGAAATTCTAACTCCTTCAATCCCGTCTTCTGCCTGTTTACCACAAACATGAGCGTTAGAGAATTAACAAGATCTGACAAACATTTATACAGGCCGTGTGGATGGCTGGACCCACATGAGCTCGTTGTTTCGGATGATCTTGACTGCCACCTCCTGGCCGGCTCTGGCCGTGTCTCTGGCTCGGATCACGTTACTGAACACACCCTGCCCCGTGTAGCCGTACACGTCGTAGCGCTTGTCTAAAGTCTCGCCGATGTTTACTCCTGAACAACAACACAAACAAACCACAGGGTTACTATGGGAGTAGAATGTAAAGCACTGGAACCACAAGGGAGGATTTACTGTAGTATCCTTCTGCATCGGTCCAGTTGTCCCTGAGGTTTGGGTTCTCCTTGAAGTCCTTTCCCACGCCGGCTGCTCGCATCCTGGCACTCTGCAGAGGCAACAGAAAAAAAGGACATGTTCCTTATCGTCCAGTGTTTCAATCGCACCCTTTTGGGTTAATTAACATTATAATAGAACAAAATAGCACCAGGATGCCACACGGGTCCTTACTTACATCAAAATGAGCAGCAAACATGTCGTCTGACTCCGTAAACATGTCGGGGGCAGAGGGCTTCTTTGGGTTGGCTCCTGGAAAAAAACAACAAACAGCAACCAGAGAGACAGGATGAGATCCGGGGCTCACACACGTCATCCTAGAACAGTAAATCTGGAACATGTGTTTGATTCACATACTGTGCAGAGATCAAAACATGCTGCAGGAGGCAGACACAACCAGGCTTTGGAATACAAGCCAGCAACTGAATGAACACATGACAGAAGAAAAAACAAAATTATAACCCCTGCATGACAAAAGTGCATTCCTCACACAGTCCTCTACTTCAACGCCGCTCTGGTGTCACAGGCTGCAGGGAAATGAAATCATTTATTGTTCATTCAGCGATCGGATGAAACTTGATCTGCTCTGGTGGCCGGAAAAAATAATCTGGAAATTTTCAGATTGAAGGTAAAATTTGTGGTTGATAAAAGGAGAGGAGCCCATCTGGAGCTTTGAGCTGAACACAGATGCACGTGCTCATCAGCGGCAGCTGTGGTGACTCGTGTCACGGTCTATAAACAGAACCGTTTGTAGCTGCGTCTTTGCTCGCTTACAGGTGACGGCGCGGTTCATTCAGTTGGCCTTGTATGCCAACAGGACTCGTTATTTAACGGGGACGTTACCGTCTTTCTCCTGGGCGATGAGGTTGTGCTTGGCTTTGATGCTAGCCTCGAAGGTGTTGACGTTCTCGCGTTCATACTCCTTCACATCTGCGGCCACTCGCTCCAGGATGTCGTCGGGCGAAGGAGAGCGGCTCCGCGTGCTGCTCTGAGGGCTGCTGGGCTCCGACACCATGTTGGTGTCTTCGTTCAGGACCTTGTATTTCTGGGTTAGGGAGGAAAGGTTCAGAGAGGGGACTCCATCTTTATCTGTGGTTGTAACCAAGATGGAGACCAGACCTGGACGATAGCCATGCGCTGCTGGCGCCGCTGCTCGATGAGGGCTTCTTCATCTATCTCCTCACCTTCAAAGTCCTCCAACCTGAAAAGAGCCAAAGTCACGGGAGAGAAATGATATCTGGTCTGGATGAAAACATTCACACAGCTTTTATAAGTGATAAAATATCTGATTTGATCGCTTTTTACGCACACGTCTTCTTCTGAGGACTCCTGGTCCACCTTCATCCCTTCCGACAGGCTGCCCTTAAACTTATCTTCATCTCTGCTGCGCCTCCTCCTCCTCTCCCGGTCACGAGACGTGGAGCGTCGGTACTGGCGGAGCCGACCGTACCGGTCTCTCTCTCCTGATCTGTAAGTCGTTCATTTCAACGCGGATGAATAATCTCATCAGAACACTAAAGATTATGTCATCAGTTCCAGTCTAAAGCCACATAACAGCGTCACCATCACCTGTGTCTGAGCAGAGACCGGCTTCGTCTGCGGGGGGAGGAGCGGGAGCGTCGCCGTGGTGATGGGGACCTCCTCCTCAGAGGGGAGCGACTGACACGGCGGCGAATGGCGGGCCTAGGACTCCTTTCCCGAGACCGGTCTCTGGCGGGCCCAGCGTCAGGTCGAGGCCGCTTCCTGCAGGATCAGAGGAGAACTCTTTCATCCAATGTCGTCAGAATATTTATTTTGTGTCTTCCTCACGTTTTAATTTGTATTTTAACGACTCGTTTCAACACAGATTGGTCCCACGAAGCAGTTTTCTGACCCTAGGCATTAAACCGAACACAAATGCTTTGTGGGTAAACAGATAACCACCTAACGATGAAGCAGCGAGTGACGAACCTGAGGGGTGAGTCCTGCCTGTCTGACTCCCTCCTCCTGAGGTCCGGTGAGCGGCTGCGGCCCCTTCTGGGGGGAGACTTGGTTCTGGACGGAGAGTGGTTCTGTTTTGACGTCCGCTCGGAGGCGCCAGTCGACACATGGCGACTGTCTCGGTGACGAGGAGAAGCACTGCGTTTCCGTGGAGGGCTGTGAGGCCCTCGTCTGTGAGGGGAGCGGTTCTCTTTCCCCAGCGAGGCGTCCTTAGACGGAGACTTGGCGACCCGTTTGTCCCGATCTGCATCTGAGCGGCTTGGCCGTTCTCGTACTGGTGACCTGGACCGTCGACTTGCTCTGTCCTGGTTTGGCCTGTCATCTCGCTGTGGAGAGGAACGCTTATCAACACGATCGGCTTTCTTCTCATTCTTTAAGTTGGAAGGAGAACTAGACTTCCGTCTCTCCTTGGGCCGATCAGTGCTGCCCGAGCGTTTTTTGTCCTTAGACCTGCTCCTGCCACGCCCTCTGTCCTTAACGCCCGCGTCCTTACTGCTTTTGGTCCCTTTGTCCTGCTTAGACTCCTTGGCGGGTTTCTCTGCAGACTTGCTACGACGCTTGGAGCTGGACTTACTGACCTCTGTTGAGTCTCGCCTCGATTTCCCACTTTTCCCCCCTCTTGGAGAGATGGGTTTACCTGAGCTGCCCCTCAGACGCTGCTCTCCATTCCTGAACCTGGCGTCTCCATCCTCTTCAGACCCAGAGTTGTAGCCCTGAAGAATCAAACCCATGCCAGACTGAACCTTGCCCTCCATCAGCTGACTGTCCAGTTCAGCTTTAATCATGGCCCTCTGTTTCTCCAGGTCCTCCAGCACGGCCCTGTCATCCAGACTGGGATTCCCAGAAGAGGGAGACGACTCCACCTTCTTGTGGGTGGAGGAACCAAAGAGGGCGGCAGCAGACGGGGAGGTGCCCTCTTTGCGTTTGTGTTTCCTGTGTTTATGACGATGCTTTCGCTTACGGTCCTTGTCTTCATCAGATACATGTTTGTGTTTTTTGTGCTTGCTGCGATGCTTGTGTTTTTTCCTCTTGCGTTTACCACTACCGCTGTGATGTTTGGACCCTTCATCGACCTTCTCAGTATTTACAGCTTCCTCCTGGAACAAAAAAAAAAAGAATATTTTAGATGTCATTCTGAATTATTTATAAGTAAATTTAAATCAGTAGAGTAAAGAATGTTTTAGTTACTGTGTTCATAATAAAATTAGTTAATTACTGTGTAATACTGGATTTTTACATTTTTTATGTTATCGTTCCTCCAAGGAACAAGGACGACACTTCTTAGAAGAAAAATGGGTTCAAACCGTAAAACACCCAAATCACCAAACAACATCCACCCACATACAAAACACTAATGTGTCAGATATGTTTCATGTTTTTTTTCTCCCATTCTTAACTTTAAAATAACCAAATAAACAACCCTGATTGATTGATACCGGTAAACACTCAAGTGAATCAGAGTGAATGGTTAAGATCTTAATTACCACCACTGGTGATTTTTAGGTCTTGCTCTTGTTCATCCCTACCTCTTCCTCCTCCTCTTCCTCAGATATGTCCCCGCTGTCTTCATTTCCACTTCTTTCATGGCTCTCCAGATCTTGCTTTCTGTTCAGGAATAAAAAAAAGAAAAAATAATAATAAGAGGGTTATGACAGTGGTGACCATCATCTGTAATTTACAGAAAAATAAATGTTTTCTAGATTGAAGGATTTAATTGAACGCTTAAGCCATAGTAGCTATTTAACAGAAGGTCAAATAGCTTCAATTTCATTAGTTAAACGTTTTTCTGGATCCACATTAAGCAGAACTTGGTTTGATTGCATTTTTCCAAACAAAAACAGAACATTCAGGACCACGAGCATTGTTGATCTAACAACTGTAAGGTAAATAAAGTTCAAGCTAACCCACTCGACAGTGAGAACACATACATTATGAGGATCAAGGTTACGTAATGTTTTTAATTCACTTTAAACCGGGGTTAACAGTTGTTTACAGCATAGGAGTTACTAATAACAGAAATCCTATAATTCATATCATACACTCACTTAACGCCATGCCAGATCTACTTGTTAGCTCAAACCGCCAAGACTGATGGCTCGGCTATTAGCTCAGATACGCTAAATGTCTTTAGCAAACTTAGCAGGCTATATCCTGTTCGCTAACTCACATTCAAACTCGATAAAACTATAAGCTTTTCTAATGTGTTTAGGCGTACATTGTGTATATGAGCAAATTAGAATGAACAAAACAACCTGGCCGCTGTATTTGCTACGCGTTAAAGAAAACTTAAGCTAGCAGAGCTAAATTACACTTAGCCGAAAGCGTTAGCCTGTCGTTAGCATCTCAGCTCGCTCGTGAAACAACGTGAGACTGCGACTCTTTCATCCTCCGCACATGTAGCGATTTCCATTTAAAACGGACACCGAAATGCATTTAAGTCTCACAGCCACCAGCCTCAGTTGTCTCCGAATTACAGAACTTACATGTGTTCGTTTCCATTATTCATTCTGCTGGACATGATGTCCAGCTCAACGTCTGCCATTTTCCTCAGCTGAGAAGCCTTCTCTTCTTCTTCGAATAATTAGAGGGAGCACTGCCGCTATGATTGTACCGCGTCCCCTGGTGTTTGGGCGATGCTGTGCAAACTGGTTTTCCCACAAAGAATTTTGCACCACCAGGAGGCGTAATTTTCTAACTTGAAATCACACCCTACATTGATCTACTAATAATTTATACTATAACGTATATTTTAAACATACGAGGCAACTAGCGAGTGCATTTTATAGCTAAAAACCTGTAAAAATATTGATTTCAATAAAGTATTAATGAATATAACATATTAGAAAAGGTGCTGATGGGGTAATGACACACATACAGCACACTTCACCCTGTGCTCAGCATTAATTTTTTCCCCTGCCGCTTTGACCTTCTATAAGACACATCAGTTGATTACAGCTACGCTGTGGCTTCTGGCTTACATGTGTCCATTACAGATTTCCTCCTGTGACCGCATCCTGCGTGAGTCGTAACTAAGTTTTTGTTTGTAAGATGATGCTAACCACCCAACAAGCACAGCATGAATCTGGGGGCGGAATCTTAGAAAAAAAATGACAGAAAAGGCAACAAAAGGACATAAAAACAACTACGAGAGGCTATTGAGTTTACGACACTGTGGGATAACCATCTGGTTTGATTCTTTATGTCGAGCATTGGTATGCATAACATAAATATTCCAAAGATTATTGGTTTAGATCAATTTTCTGCTTCGTAAAAACAAATCTTTGAATGTTTTCACAGTATTTGTTGATGCACTTTGATAAAAAAAACATTGTAACTTTATGGACAAATGCACAATAACTTCACTTTATTGCATTATATTAAATAATTTTAATTTGCATTATGATTTGATAATAACACTGATACACAGACATTACAGACAGTAACTTAAATTAGTATTATATTCAAGATTTCAAACATTCATAAAACGATCATATGAGTCTCTCTCTCTCTCTCTCTCTCTCTCCCTCTCTCTCTCTCTCTCTCTCTCTCTCTCTCTCTCTCTCTCTCTCTCTCTCTCTCTCTCTCTCTCTCTGCTCGGTTCAGTGCAAAAAGCTGCACAGATGATGCTTTTTGTGTGTTTTTTGAAGTCATGTGACTTCCTAGGATGCAGAAGCATTAATGGGGTGTTATTGTCCCCTCTTGACAGTTTTATTTGAAGCAGTAAATTGTGATATTGTGAGACACCTTTGCCTGCTTATTCACAGTGGTAAGAAAGTAAAGGAAGGTATGGAAGCATTCATGCTGACAGGCTGGCAGATGGGGGAGATTTTCTGGCAGCTGATGGATCTGCAGACATTGCCTTTATTGTTATGTGTTTGAACGACTTTTGGCTTAAATCACAGGAATAATTCTGCTTTGGTCTATAACTTTAACAGACAAGTCTTGGAGTGAGATTTTCTTTATATTATTTTATTCCCCTGTGTGTGTGTGTGTGTGTGTGTGTGTGTGTGTGTGTGTGTGTGTGTGTGCGTGTGCGTGTGCGCGTGTGCGTGTGTGTGTGTGTGTGTGTGTGTGTAGGGGGGGGGGGGTTATTAGGTTTTGCCTGGCAGAGGAAAATAATTTAATTCCCTTTTTTGAGGCAAAATGGATGCTGTGATCACGTTTATGTAAAAACCCCACAATGTTAATTAATTGTGAATAAAACATATAAAAAAATTGATAAAATGTGGAAAAAGCTGTCTATTTTCACAAAAGAACAGTATTTCAAGCATATAGCATGTAGGTGGCTAATTCGTACCAGAAAAAATATTTTGCCAACATTAGTTTCAGGGTTGAATATTGTAGCCTGTTGACCTTTTTTTCCCTGTTTCATTTGTTTGTTATTTATACATTCCCCACATTGAAATGTTCAAATGTTGGCAGCCCTGGTTTATTAGATGTAGTTGGGTATTTATTGCTCTTTAGAACAGAATAGAATAGAATAGAATAGACTTTGTTGATCCCACAGTGGATAAATTCATTTGTTACAGCAGCACCAACACTTAAGAGAATAATGTGAAGAGAAATAATAACAAAGGTACTTGTATATACATAGGCAGTAAGCTAGTATTATAACTTTCGACCACAAAAAAAAAAACAACCAAACAAACAAACAAACAAAAAACAAGTATTGAACATTCTGAGTATTGCATTGGTGTTATTGTGTACCAGGATACTGCTAGTACTAGTTAAACTGAGGTGTTGTATACTCTTACTGCAGAGGGGGTGAATGACCTACGGTAGCGTTCTGTTTTACATCTGGGATGTCTCAGTCTGCCTCTGAAGGAGCTGTCCATGGTCTCCACAGTGGAACACAGTGGGTGGGAGGGGTTTTTAAAGATGGAGGTCATCTTCCCCAATATCCTCCTTTCACACGTCTCCTCAACTGAATCCAGTGGGAAGGTCAGAACCAAGCTAGCTTTGTTAACTAGTTTATTCAGTCACTTCAAGTCTCGGTCAGAGCTGCCTACACCTCAACAGACCACAGCAGAGTAGATAACAGAGCCAACAACCAAGTGATGAAATTATTTTAGCAGCTGGGAATTAAGTCCAAAGGACCTCAGCCTCCTCAGGAGGCAGCCTTGGCCCTTCTTATACAGAGCATTTGGGTTGTTGGACCAGTTCAGCTTACTGTTGAGGTAAACACTGTACCGTGATGAAGGTTCTCTAATTTGTGGCAAAGGTCACTTTTACCCAGCTGGGTCAAACAGTACTTTTAAATCCACAGATTAACCCAAGGAGCCACAATGTCTGCAAGAACCTATCACCATATCTGCTGCTGTTCCATCCCAGGAAGAGGACACTTCAAGTAACGATGATAATAATTAGATAATAATTAATAAAACTCATTGATTTGATTACTGTTTAACACAATCTCATAAATGATCACTTGGTTCAGTATAAAGGTATTTTAATTACATGAAATGAATTTATGCTTTGGGTATTATAATAATAACAATAATAATAATAATAATAATAATAATAATAATAATAATAAGTATAATAATGATTATGATGACAGTAAAAGATGTGTTCAGCATATCAGAAGGTCAGTTCACCTTATCCAGCTAACACAGAGTCCAGATAAACATAACTTCACACATGGTTTTGACGCATGATCAAAGCTTTATTCCTGAGAGAGTGGACGTGTCCTGGAGCTTGGTAAAACTAACCATCACCAGCTTCAGAGTCAGTTCTTGAACCAACACCACGGAGGAAAGGGGAACGGCCGTCCCTGAATCTCCACCTGCTGTTCAGCCACGCCGGCCAGAATAGCTCAAGAATAAACGAACTGTAACCAGCTAACGAAGACTCTACCCAGAGTTGTTGATTTCTGAGTTAAGTTAAGACAAAAAACTCCTTCAGAGTTACGGACTTTGAGAAGCAAATAGTTCCACCAGTCGAGTGACCCAAGAAGACATCTCAGGACCGATTTGGTCGTGCTAGAGGTTTTTCTACCAACCTCGTGCCTGGAGGAAACCCATCTCCACCTGGACACTTCGGATCCAAAACGGGGGTCTTCTGACTGGGTGAGGTAAACCTCGACAGAATGTGTTTGATGCTGTTTTCTCTCTAAATAACTCAGTTAGCCTCAAAACATCATTTTCATACAGAACGCTTCCAACTCTCTGTGAAAGAAACCTTCTAATAACCTCACTCACACATCCAAACTCGTATTTTTCATTTAGCTTCCATTCAGCCACAGGTTTGCTTTTAAAACAAGTTTAATATCAAAGCTGTTAAAAATTGTCGTTAAATTGTCATCCTTGAATTGTCGTTTATGATTGTCGTTTCAAATCTTTGAGTTTAAAATTGTTAGTAATACATTTCTTCATTTTTAAACTTGCCTCATTATTTAAACGAAACACAGAAAAGGTTTAATATTTCTGGGGTTATTTGAAAGCAAAGATCCTAGCTTCTGATTCAAAATAACTTTTGCTATTAAATTTAATTATCTAAATTAAACATTAATCTTTGGATTAAAATTAGATCAAACAGGTTGATGTATGAACTTAGATCGATATATAAGTATCCGGGATATTTATATGTATGATGTAAGCTTCATAGGTTAATCTGATTGGTCATTTTTCAGAATCTCCACTGAATAGCAACAGAGGTGATTCAGCATGCAGTTAACTCTACAACACCCAGGTACTTTAAGGTATCCACCACCTCAGTGTCTGCTCCCTGGATGTTTACTGGTAAAGTCTTGATAAAGTTTTCTCCTCAGTGAGGCCCACCACATGTGTGTTGGACCCATTTCCCACAAGATTTCTTAAGCAATTTTATGACTCTTTTAGAGATGAGATTTTAATTCTGATGAAAGACGGGGGGTCTTTCCTGCTGCCTTTTAAGGAGCGGTGGTGATGCCCCTTTAGAATCAAATCAAATCAAATCAACTTTATTTATATAGCACTATTCACAGAAGAAAAGCAATTTAAATTTTAACAATCCAAACAATTTCCGACCGGTATCTAACTTACCAGTTTTAAGCAAAAGTTTAGAAAAGCTTGTTTTAAATGATTTTTATTAACATTCATAATGTCCTAGAGAAATTTCAGTCTGGTTTTAGGGTGAACCATAGCACAAATTTCTTTTAAAAGATTTAAAATGATTTTAGAGTAAACTATGATGCCCAGAAGGCGACTGTGTTGGTTCTACTGGATCTACAGTGCTGCCTTCGATACAGTAGACCAACTATTCTTTTAACCCGTTTAAAACAGACCAGCCTCTCAAATGCTGTTCACTGATGGTTCACATCTTACCTCACAGACAGGACTTTTATGGTGAGTATTGATACCTGTTCCTCTAGGGTCCATGGGATCACATGGTGTGCCCCAGGGTTCAATGTTAGGCCCAATGCTTTTTAACCTCTATATGCTCCCTCTTGGTGGTGTCATCAGGAAACAGGAGACATGGAGTGAACTTTCACAGTTATGCTGATGATACACGGTTGTACATCTCCGTGTCTCCTTATGATACACAGCCAATAGATGCACTTTTTAACAGCATCGTGGACATCAAATCCTGGATGGCAGAAAACTTTCTCCAGCTCAGCCAGGACAAAACT